AGGAAATATAGGAGTCAAACCTCCAGATCACAGGGCAAAGATCACCCTGATCCAACCCACAAGCCTGATTCACTAGACCTGCCTAAACCCAAGTCACAGTAACTGCCTGGTTGATCCAGAGTGGTTTACATGAGCCTGAGCGTGGATAGTACCACAATGTCATGCACGTTGTATGTAGCAAGTTGCTGAATCTCACAACTGGAAGAAGTAGGTAGAAAACAATTGCCTTTACACAGGCAGAAAAAAACAAAAATAAAAAAACAAAACAAAGCAAAGCAATTGTACAAGTTAGCGAACCTACTCTGGGTCACACGGCTGTGAAGGCAGGATTTAACTTCTGATGTCTGCAAGTAGAATGAATTCATACTTTATCAATGGACTACCTCCCGAATATAGTGTACATGATGCTTTAGGAGACTATGATAAGCAATCTTTGTAGGTATCATCTTAGGCAGGCAAGGGTAAGAGTTGGTCACCATGAAACTCAACAGGCAAATTTTCTATATTTCAAGAAATAGGATAAACTGCTGCAACATCTTTGCTTACCCTTAAGAGATGGACATTATTAACATATAAATGATGGTCATGAAATATTATTTGGCAATAGAATTAGCCTTATAAAATGGATTCAGTGTCCTCCCCAGACTTCTTCTAGACCTATAAATCTTGACTGGTTACAAAACCTCAGATGTTAGAATAAAGGAGTCATTTGCCTCTCAACGTAATGGCATACTTTACTATGTGTTATCCAGCCACCTTTTATCCTGTGGGTTAGGATGAGTCTGAACTGCACCAATTCTCTGTCATTGGAAGGCTGAGGTTTGTTGTTGTCTAGAAGTTTGTCCAAATGCGAATCCACTGATTGAGGGAGTGATTGTGGTCTGCCAGTCATGCTGTGTACAAAGGAAGTCGTTTCGTCCAACAGCCTTGTTTGTGTTTTGGAAAACTGCTTCGGTTTATGTCCCATTTCCATTCCCAGGCTCTGCCCTCCCAAAGTAAATAGATGACAAGTCATGGTGTGGGGAGAAAGCATTGGTGCTGCAGGGGTGGGGATAGAGGAAGGAAAGAGATTTCCCTAGGGCAAAAAGGTCTTCAACAAACCAAGTATAATTTGGAAAGAAACTTCTGTGCCAAAACCACATGGAGTTTACATCAAGATCAACTCCATTTATTAGCATAAACACAGACTCCTAAAAAACTCCATTTACTGCTTCTAAAAAAATGATCAAACATGAATGTAGATTATTATACTAGATTCCAGCTTCAATGACTAGCAAAAAATGAATCTTTGGGAAGAGGGGTATAATTCACTTACTAAGTGTAAGGCCTTTGGTTAAGTATTGATTTTTTTAAATGATGAATCTTTGTCACATAAACATATGCACCTCTTTATGTCATCCATCCCCACCTAACCAAACCCCGTCATGGACAGGGAGAATAAACTTCTACTTGCTTAGAAAACTCACTTGCTTCTAGTGTTTCCTTAAAGAAGAAAACTCTTATCCCCAACTGTTATGCTAAATACTGTCTTGCAAGTTTTGATTTTAAGGAGATAATTGCATTAAGAAGACTATGCTTCAAAATTTTAACTAGGTCTGGAAAATAAGTCAATGTTTAGAAATTCCCTTCTTTCTAAGTCTGCTCCCAAGACCTTAATTGACCTCTTTTGAGTTAGAAAGTCCCCTTCTACAACAATAATTAATTGTAATTCTTGATTCAGTGACATGGGAACTCACACAATATCCCTGTTATATAGGTCCATCAGCCAAATACGTATAACGATGAAAAAATATACATTCACTTTTACCAAAAGAAACATAGAGCTAAGGAAATGGAAACAAAGGACATTGATTGTATATACAAGGTGGGTGGGAAAGGGCTGGGAAAGGGAAGGTGAATGCTATTTCTAAGCATCTTTTTCATTTGAATTTTGTTTTTGGAAATATGTTTAGACTTTATATACTCCAAAAAATAAAAACTTTCAAACAGGATTGGGCAAGCTCTTAATGGAATACAAATAGAAACAAAGGAACAATTCATGATATTTCAATTGAATATTGTAACTAGGGTCAAAAGGGTAAACGAATCCAATTGATTTTGGAACGTAGTATTCTAAGTGTAAATTCCTAGTCCAGGGAAGAAATAAGGCAACACATCTTGAAAGTCTGCTTAGTAAGTTTGTTGCTTTCAGTAGGATTGCTTAGCAATTCCTGCCCTGTGTGTTAGAGGACAGAGTTAGTGAGAAATGAATTGATGAACTTAGGAGCCAAGCTGTCATCATGTATGAAGGGACAGCTTAAGGGGTATGTTTTTAAAAAGTATGCATTTTGGTGAGCTAATTAATCTCATGTGTTTTTATTCATGAAGTTAAAAACATAGAAGTTGGAAAAGTATAGGCAATCAAGGCACTAGAGCCTATTGAATAGAGCCAAGACTTCTTGCAAAAATGAGCCAATTTCAAAATTAATCCAGGAAAAGTACAAGAGGAGCCTGAAATATTTGCCAGAAGTACTCAAAATACATTGGAGATGAGTGTGTGTGTGTGTGTGTGTGTGTGTGTGTGTGTGTGTGAATCCTCACAAGAGACCATTTAAAGGAGTTGTTGTAGGCTGACTGAAACAATCTGAGCAACAAAAGAAATCATAATTGCAATGTTCTTTTAAAATATGCTAGAAGAGAATACACTAAGAATATAAAGGATTTAGTTATATATAAAACAAATTTTAAAAAGGGAAAACTTATAGAATGTTAGCACATGTAAAATAAAGTTTATTTTATTTTTATTTTTTTAGTTTGCCTTTTTAAAATTTAATTTTTTTGTCAAAATTTTTTAATTCAACCTTCTGAGACTATCATAATAAGAAAATTCATCAGCAATAATTATTAGTAGATACCAAAGCCAGTGAATACACATTTAATTTTAAAAAACAAGGTATTACAAAAGGAAAAATACAATGTTTACAGAGGAGAAGCTGGGTGAATACCAACGTAACCAAGTGACTAAATTTGGCATCAATAATAATCAACAAATGAATATTATTTACTTCTTCCAAACGTGAAACATGAATGACAAATGTCACTATTGTACTATACCAGTCACAACTTAATCATGAAGACATGTCAAAAAGCCCCAGCCGAGGAACTGTTTATAAAATAAAACGCCAGGACTCTTCAAATTCATCAACATCATTTGTTAAATGCTGAAAGACTATTACACATTGTAAAAGCTCAAAGAAAAAAAGGTTTTGTAATGAATAATTATTTCAGATTCTAGACCACAAAATATCATAAAAGATATTATTAAAAATGTCTTTTAGCCAGGCACCAATGTTTCTCTCCTGGAATCCTAACTAGTCAGGAGGCTGAGATCTGAGAATCATGGTTCAAAGCCAGCTGGGACAGGAAAGTTTATGAGATTCTTTTCTCCAATTAACAACCAAAAAATTGGAAGTGGAACTGTGGTTCAAGTAGTAGAGTGCTAGGTTTAAGCAAAAACGATCAGGGACAGTACCCAGGCCCTGAGTTCAAGCCTCAGGAGCAACACACACACACACACACACACACACACACACACACACACAAACAATGTCTTTTGAACCTTTTTAATTCCTTAAAGATAGTAAAAGAAAGAAGAAAGGAGAAAAAGAAAGGAAGGAAGGAAGGAAGGAAGGAAGGAAGGAAGGAAGGAAGGAAGAAGGAAGGAAGGAAGGAAGGAAGGAAGGAAGGAAGGAAGGAAATCTGTCTTTTGAAAGCAAGGTACCATTGGCTCACATTTATAATCCAAGCTACTCAGGACACTAAATCTGAGGGTCCCAGTTTGAAGCCAGCCCAGTCAGAAAAGTCCAGGAGTCTCCAATTCCAATTAGCCAGCAAGAAAGCTGAACTGGAGGCATGGATCAAGCCCAGCAGCCATGAGCAAAAAAGATGTACAAGAGCACAAGGCCTTTGAATTCAGGTCCCAGTACTGGTCCACACACTCACACAAAGTAAATATGTCTTCTAAAATTGAAAACATATACTAGGCCTATAAATTATATCCTAGCATGTGCCAACACTAAACTGTCTCACTGTAATTCTATAAGTTAGTGTCTTCTGTCTTAGGAAATACAGAGAAGTGTGGAAGTATGTACTCATGACCAGTGCATTATACTCTTTCAGAGGACATAATATAGATGTAATATAAACATGCAAAGTAAGATTGCTAACCATTTAAAGCTGAACTGCAGGACAGTAATTCATACTGTCTGAGAAACCTTTCTGTGTATTTAAAATACTCTCTAAATACTATTTAAAAATGCAACTGATTTCATTGTTTTTAGATTTTGAAAGAAGTTCATTACAAAATATAACTACACAATAGAAATTGCAATTTCCCTGTAATTCCATGACCAGCTAGGTCGTTGATATTCTTTACAACTGATTTTTCACATGTACATATTTCTTTGTACTAAGATGAAATAATTACTGAATTTAATGTAATTTAATTACTGAATATTACAAACATTTCTCCTTTTTTTTGCCGGTCCTGGGGCTTGAACTCAGGGCCTGGATGCTGTCCTCTTTGTACTCAAAACTAGTGCTCTACCACTTAAGTTATAGCACCACTTCTATCTTCTTCTGAATAGGTTATTGGAGATAAAAGTCTCATGTACTTTCCTGACTGTGCTGGTTTTAAACCGGGATCTTCTTGAGCAGCTAAGATTAGAGGCGTGAGCCACTAGCATCCAGCTAACATTTGTTTCAGTATTTCCTAACTTCGAAATATAAGTTTTATGACATGACAAATTATAGAATTGATTCAGTTGCCAAATAACCTACTTGCTTTGTTCTTCATTTTGTTTAGAAAATGTTAGGCAGCAGAATATAAACGAAGATTATAAATGACATAAAAATATAATAGGAAGGTATAATGTGGCAAAGTCCACACAAAAATGTGATTTTTAAAAAAAAATGCAGGTTCAGAATGAGTATAATAAAATGGATGTGGCAGAACCTTTAAGTGAGTCACAGAAAAATAGCAAGCTTTATTTTATGATTTCCCAACAGAAAATATCATCTTCATTTTGCCCAAATTATTTTATAGGTTATATTAAATAATGGTTTCAAATGAGGGTAGGTATGTCTTCAGTTGTAAAATTTCAGAGACAGGCAGCTCTGCTTTGTCCTGATAAAAGTCAAGACCAGTAAGGAGTTCTACATCTCGGACACGGGCAACATGGGCTAGAAACCTTTCTTCCACCCAGAGATCATTTGTTTTGTTTCCCTGAAAAAGACAAACACAAGATTGTTTTCCACAGGCATGAGTTTTCATTAATATATTTTATTACTTAGATATCCTTTCATAACTTTTCTTGCTTTTAAATCAAATTTGTTTAAATTGAATGTTGTTATTTATTAAAGCAAAAAGGGTAAGATGTATTAAATGGTACATAGGCCACCATGAACATATTTTAGCCAGTTTTATATTTACTTCAGTTTTTTTTTTGTCAGTTGTGAGGCCTGAACTCTGGGCCTGGGCACTGTCCTTGAACTCTTCAGTTCAAGGTTAGCGCTCTACCACTTGAGCCACAGTGCCACTTCTGGCTTTTTCTGCCTATGTGATGCAGAGGAATCGAACTCAGGGCCTCATGCATGCAAGGCAAGCACTCTACCACTGAGCCACCTTCCCAGCCCTTTACTTCAGTTTTATGTGTACTTCAATAAACAAAATTCAATAGTGGCTTATGAGTTTTCAAACTTACGTAAATGACATGGTACCTGGTATTTTCCAATTATTTTTCTCATTCAACTTTATAATTTATCCAGAGTGATATATCTAGGTATAGTTAGATCATTATGGTTTTATTGTTGTATGGTGTGTGTATGTGTGTGTGTGTGTGTGTGTGTGTGTGTGTATGTGTATTTTTGCAAGCATGCTAGTCCTAGAGCTTGAACTCAGAAACTGGGTACTGTCTGAACTTTTATGTACAAAGCTAGCACTCTACCACTTGAGCCACAGCACCACTTCTGGCTTTTTCTGAGTAGTTTATTGGAGATAAGCATCTCATGGAGTTTCTGCCTGGGCTGACTTTGAACTGGGATCCTCAGATCTCAACCTCTTCAGTGGCAAGGATTACAGGTGAGAACCACAGGTACCTAGCTGTTTTTAACTGTAGTTTTTAAATTTAGGGTAGCCTATTATTCTCTTTATCATACTTATAGATTTTCCTTGCTATTATAATAAATTATTCTCTAATGAGTAACAACTTCTCAAGTGTTTAAGAGCATAAATTTCTTAGGCATGGAAAGAAAATATTAGGTCATAGAATACATACACTTTCAACTGCACTAGATATTAACATACATTCTTCAAAGTATCTATGCTAAATTTTACACTCCAATAGGCAACAGAATCGTTTTCAGACACTCACATTTCATAGATATGAAACAGTGTTTTATGCATGTTCAAATTTTGTTATCCTGAACATTTTTATAGTTCAAGATCTTTTTAGATATTTCTATCCATTTTCCTGCAAATGACATAATTTCATTTTTCTTTATGGCTAAATAAATATATATTGTTCTTACCAGGTTTTCTTAATCCACTTCTAGGAATCTGCCTTGTCAATATGGGGTGCACTTCTCAGACTTTTCACCTAGTTGGCTAGCTCTAGCTTAGATATTTACATATTTAATAAAACTTGGAGTCTGAACAAGTTTTTACTATATATAATTAGATCAAACAAGTTAGAATCATAGATTTCTGTGATACTTTTTATTCACTATTAATTTTCTATTATGCATGTGATATTTTCAATTATTTTAGCAAAGTGAACTTTCAATGTTTCTTTCTTCTTTCTTTCTTTCCTTCCTTCCTTCCTCCCTCCTTTCCTTCCTCCTTCCTTTCCTTCTTTCCTTCCTTCTTTCTTTCTTTCTTTCTTCTTTCTTTCTCTCTCTCTATTTCTCCTCTCTCTCTCTCTCTCTTTCTCTCTTTCTTTCTAGCTTTTTTCTTTTTGCTTATGTGGCGCTAAGGAATCCAACCCAGGGCCTCATGCATGCAAGGCAAGCTCTCTACCACTGAGCCACCTTCCCAGCCCCTGAATTTTTTATATTTATGTGTTCATTCAGAAAAAATTAATGCCAGGTTTAAGATAGGATCTTAAGATTTGTTTCTACAATAAAGAATTAATAATATCATTCTTTTATGAGCATGCATAATATAGATAAGGAAAATATCTAAGGCATGTAGAAGATATAAATCCACATGTTCACAGATGCAGACATCTTTGATATTAATTACACAGCTTTATGTCATCTACAGTAAAGCTCACTTTTATGTCATATATCCACGAAGGACATAAAGAACATTTTAGATAGAATCACTTTTACGAAAGCCCGGAGGAGCTTTGCCACATGGTGTTCTCAGGCCCCGAGCTCGCCCAGCGCATACTCACAGGACAGCTCTCCACGTTGGTGGGTCGATGGGGGATGATGAATGGTAGGACATCCAGCCACCCGGGGCAGTTGTCTGGTGTGTGGCTCCTGTCTTTACAACTCGTCAGCACCACAAAGTAGTGAGTTGGGATGGGAACATCAGTGTTGGCTATGTGTCTAAAAGGATAATTTGATATTATTGTATTTTTGCTTCTGAAGATTGTAAAAATTTTACAATCATTTCAAAGAGATGTCATGGTAAAAAATACAATACAAGAAAGTAGTAGATGGAAAGTACAAAATTGTTACCATATGCTTCTACTTCAATCAGCCTAAAAGGGATTTATAGGACAAAGATAACCTTAGTATAAGATTATGGGGAAATATAGAATGCAAAGAAGCAAACATAGAATTCTACCTCCTGTGTTCCATAGTTCATACTCACAGTAGTATTTTCTAATAGAACAAGATGTAGGAATGAAGGCACTTTGATTCCAACCTTGCCAAATCATTCCACTAGACTGACCCCACCTAATCCATGTTCCCTTGACTTTAATAAAGAGATCGTCTGAACTATCAGCTCTACAGCATAGATTTTGGAGTAAATCTCCACAACTGATAGGACAGTGCTATGGTTTTAACAATGTAAAAGATTTTAGTGCAAAATAAAGAGATTACTATGTGTGTCCTAAGAAGGATATGAGCTGGTATAAGTGTAAATATATGACTGTAATTTACAACATGGACAATCCAGACAGTCTGTCTCCACATTCTGACTTTGTAATTTAGTAGTTTTAGAATCTAGACAATTTATTCAATCTTTCTTTGCCTTGTTTTTCTTATCTCCAATGGGGAGTTAGTAGAACCTAACATAAGCTATTTTGTAGATTAAATGAAGTACAGGTATATGCTTAGAAAAACATCTAACATGTAGCAAAATGCTCAAAATGTTTCTTAGAATTATGAAAAGATAAAAGGGAGAATCAATCAATGATGAAATAAGAACCAGAGGAAAAGTCACATATATTGTTTTATCAGAAGGTGTAAGTAGAAATATTGCTTGCTATAGTCTAGCCTGAAATACTGAAAGTGTTTAGTTGAATCCTCTGTTTTAAGAAGAAGAAGAAGAAGAGAAGGAGGAGGAGGAGGAGGGAGAGGAAGAAGAGGAAGAAAGAAGAAGAAGAAGCAGAAGGAGAAGAAGGAGAAGAAGAGGAAGAAATAATAATGGAGGAAAGTTCAATTGCTATGTACTACCTTCAAAATGTATTCTCAGCAACCTGTTGAGACCAAGTTTAGTATTCAGATGTACACTTTGGTCGCACTAGCTTTTTACCTGAAATTTATGTACATTCTCTTTGGGGAGATGCATCATAATTTACTTGCTATTTTTTAACTTTTCTAAGGTAAGCCTAGTCTTTACGTTTTTATTATTGGACTGGTTATGTATATGTATTTACTGATAGTACACCAAGTCACCTTAGCTTCTTAGACTTTGTAAACTTTCATTTTATCTCTATTCTTCAGTTTATAAATTTCCTAATCTTTACCTAGATTTGTTTTTGTTCTGTGTTTAAAAGTTTTGCATTACAATTCTTTGGTTAAATATTTAGATAACTAGGGACTTGGAAGGTGGCTCAGTGGTAGAGTGCTTGCCTCGCATGCATGAGGCCCTGGGTTCAATTCCTCAGCACCACATAAACAGAAAAGGCTGGAAGTGGTGCTGTGGCTCAAATGGTAGAGTGCTAGGCTTGAGCTGAAGAGCTGAGGGACAGCCCCCAAGCCCAGAGTTCAAGCACCACAACAAAAAAAAAATATTTAGATAGACTAGGTTAAAAAGAGATAATAATAGCATCTGAACATGAATATACTATATAATATTTGGAACACAAAACTTTCATTTAGAATCCTAGAATTTTCCCCTTATATTACCTTATTTCTAAGTCAGCGTCAAATACTTACTCTGTAATTTCATTTGGAGCATCAAAATGACCATCATAATTATAATCAAATATTGGTCCACTGATGACATTTACTCCATTTCTTTCCACCGCATATTTAATAAGAAGAACCTCATGGAAGTAATCCCACATTTCTATAAGTAAAACAGGATGTCAAAAGTATCTACCCCTATTGAACATGGGAGTTTTTTCTACAGGTGTATTTAAATAGCATCAACTTCTATTTCTGTGAATATCAGTGATAATGAGGTAATTCTATATAGTAGTTTATGTAACAAAAACAAGCAAGTGCAGTAATGATTTCTTTTTGTTCCTATAGTTGTGGACTTGAAATTATAGTCAAATATGTCTCCAGATTTCTCCATAGAGGCGGAGTTACTCTGAGGACAGTGTGTTTTAAAAATGATCCACGCAGATGCCAATGGCTCACACCTGTAATCCAAGCTCCTCAGGAGGCTGAGATCTGAGGATCACGGTTTGAAGCCGGCCTGGGCAGAAAAATCCCTGTAAGACTCTTATCTCCAATTAACCACTCAAAAACCAAAAGTGGTGCTGTGGCTTAAGTGGTAGAGCACTAGCCTTCAGCACGAAGAGGCTCAGGGACAGCACCCAGGCCCTGAGTTCAAGCCCCACAACCAACAACAGTAACAACAACTATCCAGGCATAAGTGGCTCATACTTGTCATCATAGCTACTTCAGAGGCTGAGATCTGAGGATTGTGGAGTCAAGCAAGCTAGAGCAAGAAACTCCATGAGACTCTTACCTCCAATTAGCCACCAGAAAACCAGAAGTGGAACTGTGGCTCAATATGGTAGAGCACCAGTCAAGCAAAAAGCTCAAAAATAGTTCCTAGGCTAGCCACATGACTAACAAACAAATAACAACAACAACAACAACAAAGATCCCAACATTCATGTTGCTGTGTTTATTATCATTCTGGGAACAAAAACTTAACATTGTTTAATTACAGTGGAAATAAAATTTTACTTTGTAAAAATGTTTACAGTTTAATTTGTAAACAAATTTTCAGAATTCTAGCAAGTCATTCAAAGTTGAAGTAAGTTGAAAAAAAACTATGATCTTCATTTCCCATATTTAAAATAATATAAATAATATAATAAGATGAGTCATTAATCTCCGTAACAAATGGCAATAATCACATATAGGTTGAGTTTGGAAGTTCAGAGAGTCACATAATCATTTTAATACCCCAAATACCCCAAATACATACTTACTTTTGAATTCTTCATACATAGGGACCAAATTACTTGTAATTAAAGCATCATAGACATTATTACTGTTTGCTGAAAAACAAATGGATTTTTATTAAATCTAGGGATTGAATATGTAATATAATATGTATATATAGTAAGTCTGATTTAATATATATGTATTATTTGCTTCCATTAAGACATTTTACTCAATAGATCTCAGAATCTAAATTATGAATCTTTGTCTTCAAGAAAGAAAAGCTATATATCAGGAGTAATTATATTCTTAGAAGCTGAAGTTATTGCAAATTTTTATGATAATTTCATTTCTTGATGAGCAGGAAAAAGACTTAAGTTTTAGAAAAATCACAATAGTTTTTGTACGATCCCCAGAGAGATCTTTGAAAACAAAACAAAACAAAAATGAAAACCAGCTTTAAAAAGTTTATTCCACCACTTAATCCACAGCTTAAAGTTGTTGGATACAAAGCCTGAGTGATAGCTCAGGCTGGTTTCTGTTCACAAACAGCAGCTGTATTCTCAATGGAGACTTTAGGTTGGGCAGCAGCCAGAACAAATATTTTTTTAGATGCTTGTGTTGCTCTCTCTCCAAGGAGTTTTCCATTTAAAATGTAAACATAAACCTGCCAAACTCAAACTCTCTAGACATCTGGGCGAGATTAGAACTGATGTGTGATTCCCAAAGAAAAATCAACTTGTCTTTATGATAGCTATTGTCCTACTTTTGACCAGCCAACAACCACTGGAAACCTCTTGGGCAGCTAGTTTGGCCCAAGCAGGTAGTTTTGGTGGCCAGTATATGTTTAAGGCACATGCCAAATCCAGCTGATGAGGGCTTTCTAAGCTATTGCTCTAAAAAAGAGCTCTACTAACCAGGAGGATAGAGGAAGCCGTGGGTGATATTCTTGTCTGCTAAATAGAAGGAACATTTTTGGCTCTCAGAAGGAGCAACCCTGACATCAGCCCGCAGACAGTCTGGGATAGTGGGAGGAAGAGGCGATGTGTCTCCCTGCTGAAAGAGAGAAAAGGGGAAAAAAATTACGCCCACGGTCATGGCTCCCACATTGCCTTAAATGGTTTGTAACTTCCCTAGAGTGTTTTTCATTTACTCTCTTCCTATTTTCTTAGTGAATCAGGTCTACGCACGCAGTGGAAATGGATGTCTTCAGCAGTGTTTTTTTCTGTGGTTCACTTCTGGTTAGGGGACACTGAGAGGGCAAATCAAATATGCCTCAGAATGGAATATTTACAGAGTAAATCCTGAATTGAGAGCAGAGGAGTAATGGTTGATCTTGCTAAAAACAAAAACAAACAAACAAACAAAAACCAACTGAAATCTTTTTCAGGACTTATGTGGTGATATGTGCTGCATATGCATAAGAAACATTAAAAGACAAAATACACACTGTTCTAGACATGTAAGTATGAATTAGCTATATTATTCTTTAGTGGGAAAAGAAAATCTAGCCAACCTAAAAGCAATTCCAAGAAGCTGTGTTTGTCTAAATATATAAATATACTTCTTTTTCTTTCTGGCAGTACTAGAGATCAAATTCAGGGTTTTAAGCTTGCTAGGCAAGCACTCTAAGCTTGAGCTCTGCTTCTAATCCTGAGTATACTTCACATGTTTGGATTAAAATAAGCTTGTAGATATGCTTCATTATGAAATAGAAGATTTTTTAAAAATTTTCTTTGTAGCTCTATGTAGAGTTCGTTACTTGATTCGCTAGGAGCATTCTGCCATATGCTGCCTAACCTCAGTATTAAAGGTAATAATGTAATATATGATCATCATATTTTGATTATTATGACTAAATGGATATTACTTTAATTGGTTGGTTTAGTTTTGTTTTGTCTGAGACCAGGACTCAAGCTCAGGCTCTGACACTTGTACTCATGGACAGATGAATCACGCCTCCAACCCATTTGTTTAATTTTTTAAGAGATTTTCTATGATCTCTATTGTCCACAACATTTTTTTCTCAACAGATTTGAAATTATCTCAAAAGGAAGGCTAAGTTAAATTAATGTGTCCTATCTTCACTCACTGTATTGTGGAATCAGGCTGGAGTCTAGATTAGGTGAGAGGTAAAGATAAGACAAGCCCAGGAAAAGCCCTTCGGGGCCTTAACAAACTCCTGAACAAACTGCTATGTTCCAGTTGGAAAGCATGGTACCAGAGCGGAAGAAGATCCACTTGGTTGAACATAGACTTTTATCTTTGCTGTCTTCCAAAATCCCATGGAAAGGGAAGTTGCACTGAAGATCCATGAGAGGACACAAATATTTAAGAGTTGGAAAGCAGATGAACAAACAGGAACCCGAAAAGACCAGGGGGCACTGGCTATCAAGAGCTTAAGGCTGAGGCAAAGCATAATGTGTCAGCTTTCTGCAAAATATGCGTTTGTGACAATACTTTAGCCAGGAAGGGTAAAACTTGAGAGTCTCCTAAAGACAAAAGGGGATATGTCTGGTTAGATATAAGATGATCAACCAAGAGCCTTAAGAAGTAGCCAAAGCCAGGAGCTGGTGGCTCACACCTGTAATCCTAGCTACTCAGGAGGCTGAGATCTGAGGATCATTGTTCAAATCCAGCCTGAGCAGGAAAGTCCATGAGACTCTTATCTCCAATAAACTACTCAGAAAAAAAAATGGAAGTGGTGTTGTGTCTCAAGCCTTGAGCCTGAGAAGCTCAGGGAAAATGCCCAGGCTCTGAGTTCAAGCCCCAGGACAAGGAGGAAGAAGAGGAGGAGGAGGAGGAGGAGGAGGAGGAGGAGGAAAAAACAGAGCAACACTGACTGCTGGTTGAGTTAACCCCATAAACTTCCAGGGGATTTTAAGATTGGTATTTCCTAACATACATCTTTATCATTTCTTTCTAGTATCTAAATTTCAGTGAATTTTTTGGAAGAAACATATAATACATAACTGTAGTTACAGAAACATTTTTTTCTGTACTGTAAGAATATTGAAATGCTTATGTCCAACTGTTAAAATAATGAAAAAGTTAAAGCGGCCATGTTATTGTAATTTATACCTGCTGGTTATAGAAGTCATACCCAACAATTTAGTTAGGCAATGTGGGTACCTTTTCCCTTAAGGGGTATACACATCAGATTGAAGGAAATGGTCTAGGATGACTTATAATTAGGAAGTATTTAACAAGCCACAGGTACTGGTGGCTTGTGCCTAACTACTCAGAAGGCTGAGATCTGAGGATCATGGTTCAAAGCTAGCCCAGGCAGGAAAGTCCATGAGACTCTCAGCTCCCATTAACCACCAGAAAACCAGAAGTAGAGCTGTGGCTCAAAGAGCTAGAGCACTAGCCTAGCTCAGGACAGTGCCCAGGCTGAGTTCAAGCTCTATGACCAAAAAAAAAAAAAAGTTTTCTGTCAACTGAGAAATCTTGAGATTTATTTCTTGGAAAGACCAAGTGTGTCCTTCTTTAAAAGATGATGTGATATCAAGGCAGTTCTGCCCTAGAAGGAAAGTGGAGAGGGTGTCTCGTGTTCCCTGAGTCCTAGTCTCAAGACAAAAGGCCATGATGAGCCATTACCACCATTCAACATACATGCACACAGCTTCCATCTGGCAACTTGTCAGAGGCCATGGCATTTCTGAAGGCACAGGAAAATCAGGAAAAGAGTCCGGAGAATCCAGGTGTACATTTATGTAAAATCTGGGCCCACTACCTCTCAAAATCCTTCCTGAGAGGTCAGGATGAGCAGAGACGGAAAAACAAGATGCTGATTCTTCTAGTCCAATAGGGTAACCAAATAGAACTTGAACCGCAGATAAAGTTACTTTTAGGAAAGTGATAGATGATGCTTAGTTGCAGGGGGACTAGAGAGCTAAAAGATCATTATTTGAAGGTCGGACAGCTATAATCTTATTTTGTGGTAAAGATAACTATCTACAGTTTTAATTATATGTCTGATGGTATGATATTTTTCCACAAAGCAAGTGATTTTTGAAATTAAAAACATGTTGGGACACATAATCATAGCTCTGGTTTTTGAAGACTCACAAAACATGATTAGGTTGTAATTTGTGAGTAATAAAGTTTAGAAACCAAAGGCTTCAAAAAATGCAATGACTTGATATGAAACCAGTCATGTTCCTCATTATCACCTCGGTGTCTCCAGTTGAGAGAAAACAAGAAATGGTGGGAAATATTCTACTTTATTCTACCTTTTAATTAAGTTTGAGTAGTTCTATTAATCCCAGAAAATTTACTGAAACATAAAAGATCACTTTTTATGAGCTACTGAGAAGCAAAGGGAGGAGGGAGATTTATGTTTCCACAGCTAAGATTAATCTAACGTATCTCTAGTGAGTATTGTATATACATTATCAAATGCAAAGCAATAAAGGAATTTACTGGACAAAATGCAATGATTCAATGATATGGGAAACAGACATACATAGTATAACAAAATAGACATATTATACTTATATGTATATTGTGGCTAGTGTGCTAAAATTTGCTTCTCTGAAGGCCTTTTGATTTTATATAAACTTCTGAAGTATCTAAACAACAATCATAATTCCTGCTTTTATTTTAACTTTTTATTTAAAATGTATTTTATTTTAAATATTTTAAATCCGTTTGTGTCTACCTACTGAACTGGAGGTCCAGAAACAAAACCCACAGAAGGCCTGACCAGACTTATGGTTTTGAAGTTGTTGTAGGACCATGATTTCAAGTCATAACTACTTCCTCAGAACTCTTCTAAGATAACAACAAAAATTAGAAAGCCCACTGAAACCACAGAAAAACAAAAACTCCATAAAACTTAAAGGCACAAACCAATTAGACCCATGTTCCCAAAAAAGTGCCTATTTAAAGTCCAATTTTTCAAACACAGACCTGATTTACAACATTTTTATGTGAATCTCAAAACATCCTTGTATGTAATTTTCTTGAACCACAACACATGAACAGAGTAATTTCTGAATTAGAAAGCAGAAAATTGCTAGAATTCCATCCTGTCACATGGAGGGAGAAATAGACAAGTAGTTCTGTGGGATCAGAGAAAGGACAGACTCTTTTGGTAACAAAGAAGCTAGTTTTAAAACAATAACAAAGAAGAATTGTATTCAGCCCCCAGCTTGTATCCAAGTTAAAATCTCTCTGCCTTTAGTTTCCACCAAAGGTCATATAAATTCAGGAATGCAACACAACAGGGGAAAGTAGTAAAAAACATGGATATCTCCTTTAACTCCACGCATCCTTAGTACCTGCCTGGATGTTTCAAAATCAAGACCTGAATAATAAGTCAGACCTTGAATATATAACTCTCTCAAGAATAGATGACCAGTGTGCACGTGAGGAAAGCAAGGCTCACACCACTCTGCCTGTGAACTCAGGTAACTGTCAGTGAAATATTTGCCCTCATTGGGAAACAAACATTTGAGCTCAGTTACAAATGACCACAATTGAGCCCTTGTCAGCAACAGAGCTGGCTTCCCAAACACACACAGCTTTAATTCACAGTAGGAAAATATGCTTATTTTTCTCCATAAATTCTGAATGGGAACAAGAAGAGCAGTAAACTAGATAAAACCAGTTACTTCCTTTGCTCTACAAGCAGGGGCACCCTGAGTAAAAATCATGATGGCTACAGTTTGCCATCCATAAAGTACTATATTTTTCTCACCATCCAAAGCATCCTGATTATTTATTTGCCGTTCTGGCTGGCAGTACTGCTTTATCTTTTAAAGTCTTTGAAAATAATGTTTGAAACTGAGGCATCCAATCCATTCCATTCAATAAGCACTTACTGGGCAGCTCAGTGGTGCTAAATACTTTAACTAAAACTACCTCCAAGCCTGAAGCAGTGTTTGGATTGATTTTTGGCAGATCAATTTACATTTCCATGACTGTTAAAAAGTCTGAATTGTTTGTCTCATATCTTTTATCAATTTATTAACTCAGATTCTTGCTGTTCTCTTATTTATTTATAGAATTTACTATGTATTCTGGATCCTTATTATTCTAGATATTTATCACTTGTTCCTTATATACAATGGAAATGACACATTATGGTGTCTTTTTGTCACACATTAGTGTTAATGTAATCAAATTAAATTCCTCTGTGATTTGTTGTTGTTCTGTCCTGAGAAATCTATATCCAAAGGTGATAAACATATACACAAAGAAAAATATGAGTGCTGGAGATGTGGCTCAGTGATATCACAACAATCTAGCAAGCAAGAGGCCCTGTGTTCAAGACCTAGTACTGCCAACAAAGAAAACTATAGATTTGCTATTCATATTTAGGTCTACAAATCCACTGGCAGTTTAATTTTGTGTATGATGTGAGGTATGGTTCTGCTGTTCTGATGGATAGCCATCTGTCTTGGCACCACTGGGTGAAAATTTGCTTGATAGTAAGGAACAGAGAGGTTTTAAGTAAGTAGATTCTCAACCTAGTGAGCACTAAGTCACAGTCTAACTTATTATTGCGCCTAATCTCTCAAGGAAGGAACATCTGGTTCCCATCATGCCTCTTGTGACTTTCATAGCACAGAGAAGATAGTAAATTCTTGTTAAATAAAATTCTGAAGCCTAATATTTTATTTTTTATTATTTTATTTACTAAAGAAAAATAACCAGAAGTCTGCTCAGAATCAGACATCATAACAAACACAGTCTGGGGGTTGAATTTCCAGCTGTGTTAAAAGTCTCTTAAGAGGGGCTGGGAAGGTGGCTCAGAGGTAGAACGCTTGCCTTGCATGCATGAGGCCCTGGGTTCAATTCCTCAGCACCACATAAGCAAAAAGAAAAAAGCCTGAAGTGGCACTGTGGCTTGAGCTGAAGAGCTGAGGGACAGCGCCCAGGCCCAGAGTTCAGGCCCCATGACCGGGGCCTCCTAAGAAAGTTTCTTCTCCATCTTCTGCTCTTTCTTCCTCCCTTTACCTCCACTCAACCCTGTCTTCACCACTTGCCTATATGCCAAGTTGAACGTACTCCTCTCCCGGCCCTGGTCATGTTCAGTGATTCTCTCTGTCTCTCTGTCTCTGTCCCTGCTTCTGTCTCTGTCTGTCTATCTCTCTCTCTCTCTCCATCTCTTACACACACACACACTCACACATGCATACATTTGAACAGAGAGAGGGGAAAGAGAGAGAGAGAGTACCTTTCTGACCTGTGACAACCCACCATACATATACTTGAAAATTACCAAATGAATAGAATATCTCTGTACATGCTATAAATTGTTTGAAATCTTCTTTACCTTCCTTACTAAGGAGCAAACTGGCCTGTAAAAATTTGCTAATTTCTCCAGGCAAATGACAATATTCTTCTTTCATACACATATAACACTCATAAAAAGCCTTTTTATCTATAAGCTATAGGAAAGTGAATTTTCTCTCTGGTCTCTTATGCAAAACAGAACTCAACATGAAAGAATGAGTTTGGTTTCAGCCTCCATGGGTCGGTGGACCCAGGATCTTACCGGCAGGGGGACGTTGTATGAGCTCCACAGGGGCATCCTTATAGCCTTCCCAAACCCACTGACATACTCTCTGTGGTAAAGCAGGCAGTGCTCCTTGTTCTTCTGCAAAACCCTGGGCTTCCCAAATGGCAAATTTGCTCTCACTGTTGCTGTTACTAAAATACAATAACATACATAATTGTGACATTAGCAAATGCTACTAGGCATAGAATAACTCCTACTGGCTGATTTGTTATGTGTCAGATGTTCCATAGTTATCTAGTTTTCATAGTTAACTTCTTTGAAATCTTTCAGTCCTAGGAGGTAGGGTTTATTCTCCACTTCTATTAAAAACGAAGACTTAAAGAAGTACCTTGGCCAAGTAAAGGGCTTAGAAAGGATCTGAAAACGGTTTTCTTTGGCTCCTTACAATTCACAAGATATGTATGGGGTTCTTTTCTTTTCTTCTTTCCTTTTTTCTTTGGTTTATTCCCTTCGACAGAAGGGACTGTTTTTGATATCTGTACCTTTTGTCTTATATGTAAATTTAGGGCAGGGAAGGGGAAGCACAGAAATGGTGGGACAAAGTGTGAGCCAATTCAACAATGAGACCCACTAGACATGTTGGAAATGAACTACACAACTTGGCAGGGGAGGCAAGTCGAGAGGGGAGAAACTGGAAGAGAATCCCAGAGGAGGTGACACTGTTCAAAAGGAAATGTACTCATTACCTGACTCATGTAACTGTAACCCCTCTGTATATCCCCTTTATACTAAAACTTTTTAAAAAAGAAAGTAACTAAAAAAATCAAAATCTAAAATGATAATACACACATACACACACTTTCACACACTCTCTTTTTTCTCTATTGTTTCTTGGCAATAAACTCTACATTCAATAGTCTCAGATAACACTCAATAATACTAGATAGTCTCTAGATAACACTTAAAGGTCATGTGTTTTGTTTGTTCTCAATATTGAACAATACAGTTTCTACTGACTTACTTTCTTCTTGGGTGAGATTTAGCTTTTGATTCTCATGTTCCAGTTGAGTCTCCTGCAAAATAATGAGAGGGGGAGTGGAGGAAGTAAGTCAGAATGATCAATGCGGAGTAGTTAAGATTATTCCTATAATAATCACATAAAGTATTACATGACTGAACAGTGGATCAGATTAAATTGAGTTTAAATTCCTATTCTGTCACTGCTCAGAAATGCTACTGTCCTACCCCCATACCTGTGCATGTGTGAGATATTCGTGTGTGTGTGTGTGTGTGTGTGTGTGTGTGTGTAGGAATTTGCAGAGACATAATTGGTAATGATCGAGCCTTCTGACCACAGCTGGAATGGACAATTGTGTGGGAGGACAACCCCTGGGCTTCTCCAGTTCCCCAGAGGGTTCAGGTATAGATTCTCATTCAGGAAAAATGGAGCTAATATCTGAGAGGCTTCAGTTCTGTTCAACTTGGAAGCGGTGCAGATGCTCATCTTGGGACTATATCTAGAGCAGCAAGAGGCATGTTGGCCGAGGGGAGCTCTGGGTTTGCAATCAGGTCTGCCAAGCTTCTATAAGCTTGAACTGTTTACCTAACTTCTGTTTGTCCTCTTTATCTCTAAAAGGATTAACAAAACATTCACTGCATATTACTAATGACTCATTATCACTTTTTGGTGATGCTGGGGTTTGAACTCAGGGCATCACACTTGATAGGCAGGCACTCTTCCTCTTGAGCCATGCCCCCAGCCTTTTTGCTTTAGTTCTTTTTCCAGATAGGATTTCACATTATTATGTAGGCTCACCTGGACTAAGAGCCTTCTATTTATGCCTCCTTGGCTGGCAAGCATGAAATACCACAGCCAGGTTATTGGTTCTGCTGGGATAACTTTTTGATCAGGCTAGAGTCCAGTTGTAATCTTCCCAATCTCTGCTTCCTAGGTAGCTGGGATTCGAGCAATGAATCCCTGCACCTGACCTTTATGATTAATTTTTCATGGTGGCTCCACTCAAGTTAGCTAGAGCAGTAGGGAGAACACCTAACATCAAGGTTTGACGTTAGGTGTTACATGGTAACTTCAATGTAACATAGCAATCTCCTATCTCTACTCTGATCTTCCCTAGGGATTTATTATTATTGAGAAGTTTTACTGGAATTTTGCACTTTAAGGTCTATTTTGGTTGGGTATTTCTGTATGTATGGGTGTAATCCTGGAAGTCTAGGAAATATAAGGTCGTTGGCTGAGATAAGAGGATTACAAGTTCAAGACAACTCTGGGCTACATTGTAAGTTCCATACCAGCCCAAGCTTCACAGTGAGACTATCTCCAGATAAGAACAGCAACAACAACAAAAAACAAGAACAATACAGAGGCCTGGTCTTCACTGACTGGGCCGATTCTTACCCATGGCAGCAGCTCTACAACCACATTTCAAACTTGGCATCATAGATACCTTGAAAACCACTAGTTTTAGCTTGGTGGACTCCTGGTAACTGAGCTCCAAATTCATTCTAAATTTCCAGTGCACTTCTCCATTGACCCAAGGCCTCAATCTTCCCAGATGGACTTGGTTCTCGTAATTTGGATTCCTGTTCTAACTCCTTGCTCTTAGTGGTCTATGAGCACTACAACTTCATCTTGTAGTAACTTCCCTGGATCTGAAGTGTTGCTTCTGCTCTCAGGGCAGGAACCAATCTGCTAAAAAGACCTCCCAAATATCACCAAGTGCTGCCTTACAGAGATGCTCCACTGCTACCCAAAGACATACTTCGCAACATCTATTCTAGTGATAGTGCCTACATCCAAGTTACAATCCCTATCTTCTCTAAGTAGCGATGCTTGGATTCTGAACTTTCAAGCATGGTTTATGGGGGGAGAAGAAATTAGAGTTCCGTGATTGCTATTTTGAATGGTCAAGATGGTTAGCTAAATGATTAATGATTCTTTCCCCAATAGTGCTTTCTTGACTACAAAGCATATGAATGTAGTTAATCTTATAATGTATGAACTATAGTCTTACATCTCCAGAGAAAGCTCATATATTTACTTAGTAAATACCCAAGGCAAAACACAAACCTGCGTGTTGACTCCTGGGACATATTGCTTGTCCCTTCTCATTCCTGTGGTGCATGAAGTTGCTACTTACATTCTGAAGCACGGCACATGTGCAGTCTAGCTTGTCCATGGGCAATGGAGCAGTAAAGCCACAAACAGAAGAACTGGACACCTCCTTCGCATGAGATGGCTCATAAAAAGGCACTTTCAGAAGATGGTTTAGACTGCCGTGGGTACCATTGTTTGGTGCCGGTTGAATTCGTAGAAGATCTGTTGTTTAAACAAATCAAAGTAGCTTAGAATTGGAAAGCAACAACTCTACATCAGAGGGAGGTGGGGACAAGAAAGCAGATACCAGGTGTTTCTGATTTATGCTCTATCACAGTGTGTGTGTCCCACTCCCTGACTTTCATCCCCATGGTGACTTTTATCCAGTCTCTGTATTGGAACGCACACAGGTGGACTTCTAAAGAAGACATCTAGGGGCTGGGAAGGTGGCTCAGTGGTAGAGCGCTTGCCTTGCATGCCTAAGGTCCTGGGTCCGATTCCTCAGCACCACATAAGCAAAAAGAGAAGTGGCACTGTGGCTCAAATGGTAGAGCGCTAGCCTTGAGCTGAAGAGCTGAGGGACAGCACCCAGGCCCAGAGTTCAGGCCCCACGACCGGACCCAAAAATAAAATAAAATAAAGAAGACATCCATTGCTTACACAACCATTTTGTTCCTCAAGCATCCTTTGGTTTTCTAGCAAAAAAAAAAATCTATACTTTTTTGTGGGGGAGTTAGGGAAAGGGGGTACTGAGGATTGAGTCCAGGGCCTCCCACAAGCTAGACAAGAGCTCTATCACTTGAGGCATACACCCTGTCAAAAAGTATGAAACAAAAAAGCAAAAGAACATCCCTCTGTTATTAATAAAAACACAGTTTCAGTTTAACTAAGTTAAACAATTCAAAATCTTAAATAGTACATGAGGACCAAAAATTTAAGTTGATTAAGAATGCAACACATGGGCTGGGAAGGTGGCTCAGTGGTAGAGCGCTTGCTTCGCATGCATGAGGCCCTGGGTTGGATTCCTCAGCACCACATAAAAAAAAAATGCCGGAAGTGGCACTGTGGCTCAAGTGGTAGAGCGCTAGCCTTGAGCTGAAGAGCTGAGGGACAGCGCCCAGGCCCAGAGACAGGCCCCACGACCAGACCCCCCCCCAAAATAAATGCAACATATTATTTTTTTTAAGTGGGTGCATTTTTGTTTCTAAGTCACATTTAATTATGACAGGACAGTAATACGATGAAGAGAAACAGCTGTGGTCGGTTTATTTCCAACTAAGGGTGAAACTGCAGCTTTTCCATGCCAGGTGGGAAGATGATCATGAATGCAATGGAAGGAGGCACTCACGTAGATGCCAGGATAATAAATGTCTGCCCAAATGGGACATGCTTATCATCCTTCTATGCTAGAGGACTTCTCTGTATATAATTACCAAACAAACAAACAAAACTTATGCTTTTAGATGCATTTAACCTGCTTTGAAAAGTTGGCCGTATTATTTTTGTTTTTCTAAATTTTTATTCTATTAGATTAGCATATATTAATAGAAAAGATTGATTTCATAAGATCTAAAGATGACCATTACTGGTAAAGCAAAGATAATTCAGTCTTTGTTTTGTGTTGCTTTGTTTTGAGACAAAGTCTTACCGTGTAGCCAAGGCTGGCTGAGTGGTTTTCCTAAGTGGTGGGATTACAAGCATGTATTACCATGCTCAGATGGAAGAATTCACTCTTATGACTATATAATTCCAAATAATAAATCATTGTTTTCATGCCTTCCTCATTTCCTTCTTTTTTGTTAATGGGCGCTGGCATTTAAATTCAGACTCTTGCTAGGCAGGTGCTCTACTTCTTAAATTATAACCACATCCCTGTTTATTTATTTACTTTTTGCTTTAATTATTTGGGGAGTGGGGAATCTCATTTTCTTTACCCAGGGGACAGCTTGTCATTTATAGCCTCCTTCCTATGCCTACCATGTAGCTAGTTACATAGGTGCATCCTTCCCCCTGCACCTCTGCCCTACACACACCAGTGCCCAATTTATTTAGTAAGATGAGGTCTCGTCAGCAATATGCTCTCAGTCTCCAACTCTGAAATAGCTGGAATTACAATCACAAGCCACTGCCCTGGCTACTTTCTGTCATGTTAATACAGAGCATGTAGTCTTCAAGGTTCGATTTATTCTGCTCCAACTTATATCTGTTGAAAGCTATCCACCATTTGCTGGTGAGTTCATGTATATACTTACCACAAAGGAGATTGTAGAGTTCAATATTCTCAAATGGTTCAACTTCAATCTTTTCTTTAAAGCTGGGGCCATGTGCCAAGAAGATAGCCTAGGTGGTGACAGTAATTTTACTAGAGGACATCTGCATTCACATGTACGAGTGGGAAGAGACATGTTTCTACAAGTATCTTACTTTGGCAGGATTTCTTTTCTGACTTGAAAGTGATTTTGAAATCATTTTTTCCTGTGGTATTGCTAACCCCCAACAAGTGTAATCCACAAGGAGTTTACGTCTGTCTCTGTCTACTTCCCCAGAGCCTCACAAGCCAACAGGCTGAAAGGACGCAAGCGGATAACTTGTATCAGCACAATTCCATGTCTAAACACTATGTCTTAGAAATTCATCTTTTCACATTCTTTTCATGTCATTGCTCAAATATGGTAATGTATGAAAAAATGATGATTTTTTAAGCATCAATATTTTGCACCACTTCTTCATCCCCATATTTCTTCAACATCTCTCTCCATTCTTTTGAGATAAAGTACTTTGATGATACTTAATTGATGAGAATTTATACTATTTGTAATGGATATAATTAATTTTTTCTATTGTAAGCTACAAGTATGGAACATAGACCACATTACCTCCATGCTCTTAAAGTCATTGTTATAACCGTGGTTGCCTCCTCCACAGTACGAACTTGATTTACTCCTATAACAAAAGGTTATATTACACTCAGACCAATGTGGTAATTTGAGGCTTTATAGTAAATAATAATGGACTTTGATGGACTTTCTCCATCAACAAAATAAATGTTCATTTTTGTGCTCAAGTTCCTAGCTATAGAGAAATAAATAGAATGGGAAGTCAAAAGTCAAAGAAAAGGAGAATTCTAGGTTCTATAAATAGAACTCTCCAACTGGAGATAAGTAAGTCTCAAAATCTCTATGGGAAGCTGGGATGTTCATTGATGAAAGAAAAGGGGTTTTGAACTAAGACTTTAGTAAAATTTTCTATAATTGGTACTCTGTTTTCAGAAAAAAATGAGTACATTTTGCACTCCTATCTTCTAACTTAGTTCAATTAAAATACAATGGTAAATATTGCAAAGATGTTGATCAGCAGCAAAAATATGAAAACTCCATCTGCAAATGTTTTATTTCCCATTGTTTCCCATGAGAAAACTTTAAAAAAATCTGTTCTTCCAATTGCTCATATTCTTGCCTTCCAACCATTAATTGGATTCTGGAAATTACCAATAACAAAAAAAAATATAGCAGCTATTTGGAAATGAGTTGATTTTATCCATTGTATTTCAGTTCCAGGTACAATAACAAAACTTTCTGGAACAAATTCCCTGTCATCTTTATGCTGTCTAATGAACACGTCTGAAATTGAGGCTGATTTTCCTCACCACAACTAGGTAATTACACTAGTAATGATGAACAAGACATGTCAGTTGACGCCCAAGCAGTTGCCAAGGCCTATCTGTGAAATCTCCTTCCTGGGGGTGCTTCCTTCCCTCTTCTGTCATGTAAGGCAAGATCTACAGCCTCATCACCTCTGCCCTGAAGAAGCTCCCTAATGATCATCCTGCTTTCCAAATTTCAGGATCTTCCCACAAAAGCATACACCTCTCTTTCGTACATTGTTAACAACTGATGGAAATGCAAACGCATCTTTTAATGAGGACACATTTGGAACTCAAATATGAAAAAGCAAGACCATCCTGGAAAATCTGGGCCATAAGTTAATCAATCGTACTTTCCTGGTGAAGTCCAATGTAATGAATCGCACTATGCCCAAAGCTACATAGCCTGGCTTGGGGCTGTCACTACACCAGTGTTCATGTGTTTTATTATTTCCCAATAATATTACATAAAATGATACCACAAGATAAAAGTCTATCACTAGACTATTCTGCTCCGTAGAGTAGCAAAACAAGCTCTCTGAAATGTCAATTTCACTCTGTTTGAAGAAAGCCATCTAATCTCTTCCTTTCTTCAAGCTCAAAGTCTTACTACTTATACATGATAAGTGGCATTAATGCACAGAGGTTTCATTCCCTAGCCATTCCAGCAACTGGCCAGTGCAACTGATTGCTGGGAACTAGTTTCCTCTGGGAAACTATTCTTCCTAAAGAATAACCAGCTGCTCTGGGCAGCTCTACAGAAAGATCTAAGCAAGAATCTGAAATAATCCAGTCTCTAACAAGACTTGACAAGCAGATGGTACCTTCTAGTGGAAAATGAATCTTCTTCCTTCTGATGACAAATTCTACATGGGGGCTGGTGAACTGATGGAGAACTCAGTTTCTACCCCCTTACCTTCTTGGCTGTGTATCTTGAACTGTACACAGACTGCATGAGGTAGGGCCTTTGTCTTAACTACAGTATATCTTTAGATCCCAGGACAGAACCAACCCCCACCAGGAAGCCTTCTCTGATGATCCCCAACATCAGCGTGAGATGTCATCTGTTTGTTTCTTCCAATCTTGTACTTGTTTCTGGCACAGTGATTAGCACCCCAGGCCCTGACTGTCTGTCTGCCTTCCTTTCCACCTGGGGGAAAATTGTCAGGGCAGAATGGTGGCTGTCATTTCTAGTTGTATCAGTTAAGCTGCTATTCCAAGATAAAACTGCTATTCCAAAATAAAAAGTTGTTATTCATGCTCTCTTTTTTTAATAAAGCACTGAAATATTCTTCAATTAGAGTTTCAAATAATTGGGTTTACCAAAAATAATGAAATCTCACAAATTTTAGGAAAACTGAGGCTGAGGAGGATACAGATTCCACAATTGGGTTGCAAACAGGTAGCTTGGGGCTGGGAAGGTGGCTCAGTGGTAGAGTGCTTGCCTTGCATGCATGAGGCCCTGGGTGTGATTCTTCAGCACCACATAAGCAGAAAAAGCCAGAAGTGGTGCGGTGGCTCAGCGCTAGCCTTGAGCTGAAGAGCTGAGGGATAGTGTCCAGGCCCAGAGTTCAGGCCCCACGACTAACAAAAAAACAAAACAAAAACAAGTAGCTTGAGATTCATGTCTTCCGAGTAGAGAATCAAATGTACCTAGAAATAAATCAGATGAACACTTGCTCTCTTGTGAAGGGTTTGACACTGGGGATCACTGTGCGATGCTTACAGATGGCATGTAGCTGAACTTTTCTTCCATACCCCTTTCTCATCCTATACTAGGGCCTGCTAACTTCTAATTTGCCCTTAACAGTGAAGATTTAGAAGATGTACCCCCCCCCTTTAGATACAAATTTATTTTCATACTATATACCTAACTTAATAAATGCTTAATTTTATTTTAGGAATATACATTTAGAAAATGTTATCCAGAGTGAGCCACAGTATGGTGGCTGAGAGGACAAGGACTTAAAAACTTTGGACCCATATTAACATCCTCTCTCTCCCTCTCTCCCTCTCTCTTTCTTCCTCTCTCCCTCTCTTCCTTTCTCCCTCTCTCCCTCTCTCTCTCTCCTCTCTCTCCTCCCCCCTCTCTTTCAGACGGAGGGCAGTGCCATCTAGTGACCAATTGTGGAAATACATACCATAGCTGAGCACTGCATTGGATTATTTTAAACAGGTTCTGCCAAATCTCTAGTTTTTCACACACACACACACACACAAACACACACTGAAGCCCAACTCTCTTGTCCTATCTCATCTTTTCTGGGATTATTTTAAACAGGTTCTGCCAAATCTCTAGTTTTTCACACACACACACACACACACACACACACAAACACACACTGAAGCCCAACTCTCTTGTCCTATCTCATCTTTTCTTTCTTTACCAAATATATAATTTTAGCCACCGTATTCCCATTGTGCCTAGCACCTCTTGTCATTAAGTTGTGTACATATAAAGGAGATCAGGAAAATATATGGTCCTGGTATCACTGATACTCACAAATGTGGGAAAATATTGGAATAAAATACAAAAGGAGAAACCACTCATTTAACTACCATAATATGTATATGTATTTTTCCCCAGCTTAGTATCACTTTTCTCCACTGGATTTACCATTCTTAGGGAAGAAATTGTGTCTCTATTAGAATTTTGTTGTTGTTGTTGGATCCATGAAGACACTCATTATCTGATATAGAGTTATTCAGGATGGTCTTACTTTGTTTTCATTGTCTTATTTCAATCTCACCAATGCTTAGTGATCAGCACAGATTATAAATAGAAAAAAAAGTGATAACCCTTACAACTAATTGGTTTAAAAAAAAACCTCTTTTGTGAAAAAAAGGAAGATGACAAAGATCTTAAAAAGCAATTTAGTCACTCACTCACTCCCAGCCTGGGAAAGGAAAACTGGTGTCACCCTTATTCTATCTCTTGCCTTAGGAGACGGTGGTCAGGTAGCAGCGTGATGCTACATCTCTGGATCTGTAGCTAGAACTGTCTCCACCTTCTTTTCCATTCTCATCTTTACTGTGATGGTTAGGATGCTATGACCATGACTAAGAGAAACAATTTCAAATGCAGAAGTGCTTGAAAGCATGGACAATAACAAGGAGATATCAATAGTCAGGAAAGTTCTTACAATCATAACAGCAGATAAGGTTAAATACATCTAAAATGCAAGATAATTGTCTCTGGTATTATAAGTAAATAGACACACAGACCTTGTAGCCAGCCACTGTCGATCAACCATCAGATGAACTTTGTCAATTCTGACATTTTTGGCATAGTGCAGTCGTTTGGGCAAATGAGGAGTCAGATAGGGTTTGAAATGCTGGTTGGGTTTTCGGCACTGAAAAGGTGATAAGCATTTCTCCCATGAAACATAAGAGATGCAAACTAGTTAACAATTTCCATCCTCTAGAACATTTCTTAAATGCTTATTAAAGAAGATTTAAGCTCAATTAAATGGGGATATTAAACTTGTCAACATGGCTGATACTATTATATAGTTCATTATACTGCTTTTATTCTTATAGGAATAAATCAGGTTGATATTAAAATTTATTCAAATTATTATTTGGTATTGGATATTTAAAACTAATATTCCTGGGTAAGTGTCTTAAGCCACAATAAATTCTTCCTCTTTTTTGACAGAAAATGAATGTCTACAACTTTTGAATCTAAGTTATATATAGAAAACATAACAGATCGAAGACAATGGCAAAAATGAAAACTCAGTTTAACTGAAACCAAATGCCTTGTCAATGGATTCATTTTACCTTTTAAATGTCATTTGCTTACATCAATTTAATAGCTATTGTCTCTCTATCTGTAAAATGTTCATGGATTCTTGACAAATGAAAGCACATCTTATAAAAACTTCTTTACTATTTTGAAACAGCAACATATGCAAATCACATTGCTGTGTAGTCATGCAAAAAGTGAAGAAATAAGATATAACTCATAATTTTTAATCTCATGATCTTGAAGAATGAGGGGGTAAAATCATGTAAGAATATCAAGAAATAAAATCTCTTCAATTTCCTTATTTCTCATGTATTTCAAAGCACAATATCTCATCTATATTAACAAATCTGTGTTGTCTCATATTCAATTTAGATGAGAAAAAAGAAAAACTATAAAATACAACTTACAGAAATAAAATGTAGAAGAAATATAGCAAATGGGAGAGTCAGGAGAGATTAGAAAATGAAACAAGACAGAGAAAAATACTGGCCCTCCACACACTTCTGCCCATCTTCCTCTTGCCTGTTTTGCTGTCTTTTCCAGGTTATGGCTTTTAGTACTTTCATCATTGTTTCCTTAGTAAGCCAATAGTCCAGTGACTCTTAGGAAGGTATAGAATAGCAGGTGCGGACGGCCAGCTTCCCAAAAGAGGTACAAGTAAAGGACATGCCTCCAAGGACAACTGATCTTTTGATTAGTCTCACTGTCCCCTGGGCTGTTGCTAGAACTGGTCCAGTGGAAACTGCGGGCACGTGCCAGTTTCTGAAGAAGTACATGGTTACTCTTTGGCTTTTTTTTTGCTGGTGTTGGAGCTTGAACTCAGGGCCTGGACTCTGTCCCTGAGCCTCTCTGTGCTCAAGGCTAGTCTACCACTTGAGCCACAGAATCCTTTCTAGCTTTTTCTGTTCATGTGGTACTGAGGAATCAAACCCAGGGCTTCATGCATGCTAGGCAAGCACTCTACTACTAAGCCACATTCCCAGCCCCATACATAATTACTCTTTAGAAGTGACCGTTTGAGAAACAGGCACCAGAGTTAAGACAATAAAGTTAGTGTGGATGTCTCTCATGTGATGGTACTTAGAGAGTTGCCGGTTCATATTATGTTGAGCTGTCCATTGTGGGCCATCAGAATAGCACCACCCCCTGGACCGTTTTCCTGACTTTTCCTTGATGAAATTGTAGCTCCTTTCTATATGTCCTTGACCACTAGTCAGCTACGTAGAGAGCGTGAAGGGACAGACAAAAAAGAATTCAACAACTTCATCACAAGTGGAAGTAAATATTATACAATTTGGGCTTTCTAAACAGTAATTATTAGTGTAACTTTATGCATTTAAAAACTGTAAACAATGCAAATTGCATATTGATATCTCGTCATGCAAAAACAAAATGGGAAATGAGAAATAGCAGTTAAAGACACTTTATCTTATAACCTCTTTCAGAAATGAGGGGAAAATTCCCACAGGTAGATTTTAGAGTCCATGTTGAAAATTCGGTACTATCCTTTCACATAGCATAAACACTGAACGCACAAATTCACCAGTAGGGGAGGACATCGTCTATCACTTTACTCAAGATCTGTATATTAGTGAAAGGAATAAGATAACATTCTCAAGATCCCCGTGCTAAAGATTACCAAGTGTTTCTCTCTGTAATCACTCCCACTGCATCCTTTCTGGCTTTTTAAATGGCCTCTTATCACTATACTTAAACAAATTTAATTTCATTCTAAGCAATGACATACTCATGGGTCCCACATAGTTAAGTATATATTTGTGACTGGGTTTTGAACACATATTTAAACAACTAGGTAAAGGGCTGAATATGAGCTCAGTGGTTGCAAGCATGAAGCCAGACACAACCACGATAAAACAAAACCTATCACAAGAGAACATTTTAAGGCTTTCTGACAAAGTAATGAACCCTACTTTGAAAATGTTGCTTTAATGTATCTGGAATTTTCTCTTCTCATTTCTATAATAGCCAGGATTAAGAACCAATAAGAAATAACTGTGCTTATATTAAGAAGACAATAGGATTTTTTTCTGCAAAAAGATAGGGTTCTTCGCTATTATGGATATCTAGTCACACAAAACTGGAGGAGAGCTAGAGGCTCACTGGCACAGCCTTAGGAGTAACATCAGTTCTTTCAATGAAAACGGAGAATTTATGCCATTGTGACCCTCAACTTATTTCCTGTAGTGGTGTCAACTCCAAGATGAAAACAACTGAGATAAAAGCAAGTAACGTGTATGTTGATGGAGAATAAAAATTAAATTAGAAAAAAAATTAAATTAGAAACTGGGTGTGGTAGCACACACCTTTAATCCCAGCTATAAGAATGAGGCAGAATGAGATGTACAAGACATTATGTCAAAAAATGAACTTTACAACTTTGGCCAGAGTGTGTGTGTGGGGGGGGGGGTTAGGGGGAAAAGAGGAGGGAAGGAGGAAGATGGGAAGGGATAGGAAGAGGAAACAAAGGAGGAGGCTACAATGCTTGATAAGAAATGTATTCATTATCTTGCCCATGTAATTGTAACCCCTCACAATAAAAAAAAAAAAGAGGAAAAAAAGAATGAGGCAGGAAGAGGGTAAGTTCCAGACTAACCTGGGCTTCTAACTGAATTCCCATCTCGGTCTCCCTATGCAAACACACAGACACGCATATGCCCAAATCACAAGCAGCTCAAATTCAGAAATATATAAATAAGGTCACTGTAGTAGGTCTATGTATTAAGGAGACTGTATACTTACACTGAGGTTCCTAACGATTTCTTCAGAATTAACTGTTTCAGAAGAAAAAACAAATCATATTACATACTTAATAACTGCAAAAAAAGTGAGCAGCTCACTGACTTTGCATGTATATTTATTTATGAATAGCTATGATTTGGTAAGATTAAATTAAAAATGATTTCAAGCAAAATGATGTCTTACTCTACCGTTTAAAAATACAATAGTAGCCATGTGCTAATAGATTCGTGCCTATAATTCTAGCTACTCAGGAAGTTGAGATCTGGAGAATCAGGGTTTGAAGCCAGCCTGTGGGGGGAGAGGGGAGGTCCGTAAAACTCCATTTCCAATTAATCAGCAAATGTCCATGTTGGAGGCATGGCTCAAGTGGTAGAGCACTAGCCAGGAGCAAGCAAGCCCTGGAAGCCCTTAGTTTTAAACAAAAATCGCCTCAGTATTTTTTCAATGGACTCATCTGTTTAATATAGGGAAATGACATTTTGTCACTACTAGGCACCATAAAATGTAAGCACAGGGCTGGGAAGGTGGCTCAGTGGTAGAGTGCTTGCCTTGCATGCCTGAAGCCCTGGGTTCGATTCCTCAGCACCACATAAGCAAAAAGAAAAAAGCCAGAAGTGGCGCTGTGGCTCAAGTAGTAGAGCGCTAGCCTTGAGCTGAAGAGCTGAGGGACAGTGCCCAGGCCCAGAGTTCAGGCCCCACGACTGGACCCCCCCCCAAAAAAAAAGAAAAGAAAAGTGGCTTTGTTTTGGTTTCCCTGTTTGTATATAGTGCAGCAAAGGTCTTGGTATTTTCATTATGTAATTGTGAAGAGATCCAAATGACGTGAGGGGCAGATAAATTTGCATTCTTATGTTTAAGTAAGGTGTACCTCTCACAGTATAAATCACCCCCCCCAAAGTAGCCAATAATCCTACTGCATGATGTACTGTATGATCAACTGTTTAATCGTATAAACAGAATGTAAATGTATCCCTGAACGCTGTGTTCTAGTGTCTCAAGATTCTTTTATAGCACCAATCTCTTCACCGGGCTGTTGTTATGATGTCCTTGTCACGGAACATGGTTAGTGACAGGAAGATAAACCTGGATGTTACTGTAAACCACAGCATTTTTTTGAATGAAAGAAAAAAATGAAGTAACCCATCAATATAAGATATTACAATAGACTAAAAACTAAAGACTATCCTGAAATATCAGCATTCCTCCTTTGCTTCTGTTTGACCTTCCACCAAAAGTCACAGGGGCCTATTCATCCTGGGCACTCTGGTTGTGATGCACATCCATTTCTACCTCTCTCCTTCCTCAGCTGGGTCTTCATACTTACAGGTAAAGAAGTCCTCAGGCACCTTCTGACTCCTGATGCGAGGGGCAGGCCCTTGGTACATATAGAAGTTTATTCGGGGAAAATAATCAGTCATATATTCCACCTTCTCACAGTAAGTCTGGTCCATCCCTAAATTTTAAAAGGTCCATTAAATATGCATATGGTTTTCTCCAATAGATCTGTTCAATAGACTTATACACATTCATGTATTTATATATATTAACAAACACAGATATAATGTTAGTAAATGTATGCAACAATGCAGGACATCAACAAACACCCTTCAACTGCCTGTCTGCATCAAATAGGAGATACTTACGCTACAGATCTCAAAGCTCCACTGAGAACTTACACAATTATTCTACTACTTTACTGACACTCTAGGTGGCAGAACTTGAAAACTGACAGTCAAAGAAACAGGGAGGAATAATAAACACATATGTTCAATATTTAAAAAAACTATAGGCTAATTAAATTTTTATGTCTGATTTATCTGGAAGACAATACAGTCCATTTTTAATCAAAATAGCAACATGTATCTTTTTAAAACTAAAGCCTAAAATATTTGTTTTTAAAATTATATTATTTATACATACATAACCAATATGTGGTCTAAAATGGTTTGTTAGCTGAGTCCGCAAGCACATTTTTGTTTCTTTATATATTTACTTATGTTGGGACAAGATCTTGCTATGGAGCCCTGACTGGCTACAGACCAAAGCTCTCCTAGCTCAGCTCTCTTCTGCTCACCCTTGCTGTCTTGTTCTTTCATAGATTTGGAGGTCAGCTTCCTTGAGGGGACTAGAAAAAAAAAATGCAAGTCTGTCTCACTTATTTCTCAACACTCCAAACCTAGAAAATTCAGCATCAATGAAGCACTTATAGATGGGTATTAGTGGAGGGCCTGGGGCTATAGCTCAGTGGTAGAGTGCCCATCTAGTATGCTTGAGGCCCTGGGTTCTACTCCAACACTGCACAAAGGAAAAGGCTGTTCATGGCGTGGTAGGGGAGGCTGCTACTTTATTTATTTCAATTCTCAGGTTAATCCTAAATAGAAAAATGAGGGGAGACAGACTTTGAAAACAAAAAGCTATGATTAAATGCACATCTATTCACATGATTTTAAATACACAGAGCCTGGTAAAACTGGCAAATATCATAAAGTACAGTCATTCTGTACATAAATATCATAAAACATAGTCAACCTACAATATCATGAAGTCCAGTCACTACACATGAAGCTATCAGTAGCTGAAAAAGCCTGAAAAGTACTTTCTAGATTGAATACTAACCTAAACATGTTCCCATTGAGTACAGTAACTCCATTTTACTGAGGATAAGGTACACGGAAAGAGTTTCAGAAGTATTAAGTAACTAGAAATTTTAATTTAGTCTTTTTCTCATCATCTACCAAAAATTTTATTCTTTGCTTCTTCAAGAATCTCTAGATCTGGAAATATAGACTCCAAAATAGTTTTGTGTGATTTCCCGAAGTGACAAAATGTACACAATGATAAAATATGATTTTAATTTTTAAAGAAAGCATACCATGGTCGGTCAACAGGATGATATTGACACAGTTGTGTAAGTTCCGCTGTTTGAGGCCCTCCATCAACATTCCAAAGGCATTATCTACCAACTCTAAGGCTTTAATTACCTTTAAAAGCCAGAATAAGATTGTCTTTGTAAGGTGTTTTAATTAGCCAAATCACTACACTGTCAAGTAAAAATTAAATACATTTCCTTCTCTAAAATTTGTCAGGTTTTGAAATAAAACATCAGAGCCCAGCACCTATCTTAACTGCATTTATCAAGTACCAATTCCCCACATTTCTGTAAGAAAAAAAAAACTGAACCATGTTTCTTATAAAAGAAGACTGTTTATGTAAGGTCTGCACAGGGACACCTCCTTCCCTCTTGGCTAAGTTTCTGCCCAGTATCTGTTACCTAGGTAACTGGCAGACCTGTAAGCAGTCACCTACCCCTCCTGCCAGGTCATATCCTGGGCTACCTCCTGTCACACGCCTCCTATCTGACCTTAGGAGGTCCCAGACCCTGAGGTCACATCCAGATCCAGTGTGGCCACACCTTTCCCCCACCTGGCCACATGTCTTCCTGTCCCTGGCCTAGATAAGTCCTGGCCCAGGAAACAATGCTGGACATCAACAAACAGTACTCAAGTCTAAATGTTGAGAAAGGGAGACCCAGCCGTTTTCAGGAGAATAAAAGTGTTGCCTCCATTTGGGAAGGTCACCTTGGTGATCTGGGAACTAAAGAAGCAGCATACGCTGTGACGTAATAATGCTACCGTAGACATTTTTCCTAAGTAAATACTTAGCATACAAACGGAGATTACACGCAAAGATATTCATCACATCACATCATTGATTTATCATTTAAATTTCAGGAACTATAAAATATGGAATATATTTTTAAAATGTGTAATGTATAGCCCTTTATTTTTGTATGAGAGTATGGTGAATGTATGGTGGATGGAGTATTTATAAGGCATAGGAAGAAGCTCACAACCCAATGTTAAATATTAACAAATGAAAATGCAACTATGTACACACTATAAATATTGAATGATCCCATCTTAATATAGTTAAATATATTGGCCATTTCTAAGTAAATGTACATGCATAGAGCAATAAAAGAAAATATGCCCAGGTACTACTGACTGTAGTTGTCTAATGAGTACATTGGAGTTAATTTTTATTCCAGCATTTATACTGTATTCTTTCTTTAATATTTTTCTTTTTAATACTTTTTCCTTCAACATTTGCCACATTATCAATACAGTACATTGTACTGACCCAAAGTTTAAGTGAATTTCACTGATAGAACTTTTCCAAAAAAGTGAGACTATCGAAAGAAAGAAAGAAAAAGAAAGAGAGAGAGAGAGAAAGAAAGAAGGAAGGAAGGAAAGAAAGGAGGGAAGAAAGGAAGGAGGGAAGAAAGGAAGGAGGGAAGGAAGGAAGGAAGGAAGGAAGGAAGGAAGGAAGGAAGGAAGGAAGGAAGGAAAGTAGGAAGGAAGGAGGAAGGAAGGAAGGAAGGAAGGAAGGAAGGAAGTTGGACATGGGTGGCTCACGCCTGTAATCCTAGCTACTCGCCAGCCTGGGCAGGAAAGTCCGTGAGACTCCTATCTCTAATTAACCACCAGAAAATCAGAAGTGGTACTGTGGCTCAAGTGGTAGCTCAAACTCTAGCCTTGAGCTGAAGAGCTGAGGGACAGTGCCCAAGCCTATAGTTCAAGCCTTATGACCCAGAACAAAAAGAGCTGGAGGCATGGCTTAAGTGTAGGTGCCTGATTCCAAACCTCAGCATCACCTAAAAAGAAAAAAAGAAAAAGAAAAGTTCTTGGCAGAGCGTGGTAGCACAAATCTATAATCCTAGCTATTGGAAGAGGGGATCAGGAAGGTCATGAGTTGGCTACATAGTGAGACTTCATGTTAAAAATATTTAAATAAATACATAAGTCAAAAGCTCTTGCCTTCACTCTATTTCAAATGCTGCTCCACCATCTGCATTTCAACACTCTACTATCACTATTTCATAAAGCTACGCAAGATATACAATGCCACAAGAACCTTTCACTCAAACATTACTCAAACTATCAAATTTTTGGTAGCTGAAACATTTTAACCTGAAAGGCCTATGCTCACCAATACTACTATACATCAACTCTGTCTCTTTTATTCTTTCTCCTTTATTCCTTTCCTCAACAGCTTGCGTATCACTTTCTTCATGGGTTGGCATGCTTGACAGAATATTAGGCCCACAGAAACTGCCCTGAGGAGGCTCTGAAGAGTAGAGAGAAGAGAGTTTTTAGGACAGAGGGTTGAAACCCAGGACTTGTGCCTGGTAGGCAAGTACTCTATAACTTGAGCCACACCCTCAGCCCTATTTGTATTTTGTTTTTGAGATAGAGGCTGATTAACTTTACCTGGTCTGGCCTCTAATTTGTGATCCTCCTGTCCCTGTCTTCTGAGTAGTTGGGATTACAAGTGGAAATTCCATGCCAGTCTAAAAGAAGGGTTTTAAGATCTGAAAAGACTAGAGCATGTTTCACCATGGATAGTGGGTAAAAACAAACTAAAATAGCCTTTGTGCTTTATATGTCATTAACTGAATGTTGTGTTGTTATTTGGGATGTCAAGGGGAGGGGAGAAGGTAAATGAGGGAGGAAAGGCTGGTGAATACACACCACATTGGCAAATATAATCCCTAACTTTGATATTTTATGATATGAAATGACAGTATCACCTCAAGGTCATAAGTAAATTGTTATCAAAAGATTCAAGATGTGGTTAATAAGGCAGTTATTCCTTCCTAGATTCGTAACTCTTTTGTGATTACAAAAGCAGAGATCCTGTTTAGAATTTTAGTTATTTTGATCTTCTCATGCATTTGTGGACTACAATTCTGTTTAGGAGAAACAAAATAATAGTTTTTATTTGGGCTAGATGATGTCCCACTTGTTAAAAAAAAATAAAACTTACTCTAGCACTGACTGGTCCATTTTTATGTCCTGCAGAATCAGGCTCTTCCACGTATATGGTATAAAAATTGGGTCTAGGGTAAAATTGAAACAGAGAAAGACATTAATAATTTGGAGGCGATCTACAGGCTGCATTTGGGTTTTGTTTTGTTTTTATCTAGAACCTATTAGCTATTGCCATCTCTTTCTCCCTAGCTTTCTCCTTGTCACTATCAGATGGTTAAACTTGACCCCACCAAAGATGTGTCTCCTAACACAAAGTAGATAAGATGCCACCCAGATATGAACATTGGCACACTTCAGTTGTGAAAGTCTTCTTTGTCTGTACAGTGAAGATCTCTTTTAGTATGCCCTAACTCTTTGTATTGCCTAGTTCTTAATTTTCTCTTGACTCGGTGGTGCCTTACTTATGTTTTCAGACAGAAGGTTTCTGTGGTACTATTCGTCTGGTACTCTCTTTCAGGATGTTCTGACTCCTTCCTGTAGCCATGGCCATGTGCCAATGTCACTAGCTCCCAGAGTCACTCCTGAGAAGTAAGCATTAAACCCACTTTCCTTTCTGCCATAGCTCTCTATCTGCTCCACATCTACCTTTCTTTTCTTGTTCTGGCTCTGTCTCTATTATGAATGTGCTGACTAGCAAGAGTACCAATTCTTGAGTCTTGAAAAATGCCCACAGAAAGATAATGCCAATGTGTTTGTTTGTTTGTTTTTCAAAAATGGTCACGGCTAATAAAGGATTCCAGTGATTACTCTCATTTCTCTACCTATGCCAGCACATTTTTGACCCCAGATATTACCTTTCAGCTTTTGGAAGGTCCAGCCACTTTAACAGTGTTGAGATCCTCTTTTCATATGGGACAGAACTGGGGGCAAAATTAAGAATAATTTTTAAAAGTGAATTAAATAAACCATAATTACTAAAATTCTCTCTGGAAGTTAGGTCACCATCTTCAGATATCAATATATTATCAACTTACTGCAAAAAATTCAGTATATTCAAAGGGTATAATACTGTTTTCAGTATTTATTAAACAAATGTAATTTCAGCACTATATTGTAAATTCATTTTGCTCTATTTCTTCCTCAGTTTTTCTTTCCTTTAGTTTTCCCCAGTTAAAATAATAAGCTATTGTCATCCTTTCATCCTATAGATCTTGGTAGAGAGATAGATGATAAATGTATAGAAGATGATAGATAATAGATGGATGATAGAACGATAGACAGATAGATAGCTAGAATATCCATTGCCAGATACTAGTGGTTCATTTGAAATAGAATGTATCATTGAACAAACCAAAAACTACATTTCAGTAGAAGAAAACAAAATATAATAGACCTACTACCTAAATTCTACAATACGTTAAAAGGTAACAAATGCTAAGGAAAATAGAAAAACTCAAGTAAGGTACCCTGAGAAACAGGTAAATTCTAAATCTTAGTGTTTGAGAGAGGGTAATATTAAAGATATATTTGTGCAGCAGCTTGAAATCGGTGAAAGAGGAGGCATTTGGGTCTATGGAAGGAATCACCTCATACAGAGAAAACAACAGAAACAAGTCTGGTTTGCTGAGGCCAGCAAAGAGGTTCAAAGTGCAGTAAGGAGGAAAAGATGGAGGCCAGTCTGATAGATAGAGAAGGGTGGGTATCATCCCCTGCAAGGCCTTCTAGGCTTTTCCTCTGGCTGACCTAGGAAACTACTGATCTCTTTTGTATTCAACAGTGTATCAGGGTTGTATCTCTTTCACGAGTGCTCTCCATGCTTTCTTAGAAGGGGGCACATTAGGAATAACAGGCAGAGTACGCAGACTGGAAGTCATTGAAATCTGTGCAAAATTAGTGCTGTGACTGGACTTGCATTTTAAAGGAATCCTCTTAGCTAGTTGGCAAAGAACAGGTTACAGGGGACAAGAAGGAAGCAAAGGGATGGGGAAAGAGGCAGCTTCAGTAATCCAAGCAAGAGATGGCAGCTTCTATCAGATTGGGCATGCTGGGGCCAATGACACAGTCTCTTACTGCTCCCTTTGTGAATTAGAGCCCAAAAATGAGGGATAAAAAAACAGCAGAATCCATGACTCCACGATTTAGAGTCCAAACTACTAGAAAAATAGAATTATAATCAAGATGAAGAAAATAGGGAGTTAGGAGTCCAGCTCATCGGTAAAGTGTGTGTTAGCATTTGTGGAGTGCCAGGTTTCACCCCTAACACTTTTTAAAAAATGAGTCTAAAGAAAAATGTCCTGAGCTAGGTGCCAGTGGCTCACGCCTGTAATCGTAGCTACTCAAGAGGATGAGATATGAGGATGGTAGTTCAAAGCCAGCCCAGGCAAGGGAAGTCCGTGAGATTCTTATCTCCAATAAACCACCAGAAAACTGGAAGTGGCGCTGTGGCTCAAGTGGTAGAGCACTAGCCTTGAGCTGAATTGTTGAGGGACTGTGCCCAGGCCCAGAGTTCAAGCCCTACAACCAACAACAACAATAAAAATTCCTGGTCATTTCTGTGTAGATGGACTCTTTTCTGAAAGTGCTACAGTACCTGCTGTAATTCACATATATGGTTGGAAAGGAGCCATTGACAGCCACATCTGAGCCTGGCCAGTAGTAAGCTGCAGCTTTTAAACCTTGATATATTGCTGTCAGCCAAATCTGCAAGAAGGAAAGATACACAGGAAAATAAGAAAATAATAGTGAAACTCTTGAATGCCCTCACCCTTGGAAATGAGATGGATGCTGTAATATGTCAAGTATAGAAGAATGATTGGCCTACTGTCACTTAGAGAAACAGAGGTTACTTTAAATATACAAAGAGAAAGCTACATACTGGTTGCCCTTGCCACCAGGCGGGATTGTTTTTCTCCACTGAAGAAAGTGAAAAACTCTTGTTGAGATGTACATCATACATACTATTGTCAATGATGCCATGTGATTCTGGATACAAGCCCTAAAAATATCAATTTTAGAAAAGATTAAGATAAAAATAATTCATTCATTGAGAGAAGCAACCATTCATCCGGACAATTAAAAAATTCATTCGTGAAATACATGTTTATGTTTAAAATAGCATATGATCTGTCAGTCACATCTAGAAAGGATGGTCATTTTACCTTTCAATATACAACACCCAAATCTGAACCTGGATATTGATATATTTGTTCTAGTTCTTCCATGTCTGAAGCAGCAAAAGAATGGTTTGGGTTGAGGGTGTGTGTGTAGTAACTGTTAATAAAGTTCTTGTATTGAAATAATAATTAGCCACTTTATATTAGCAATACACTTACTATCCAGAAGCTTTTATATATTCCAGTATCCTGTCTAAATGGGACTAAAGCAAGTTATCACCACTTTTGCCAGGAATTTGCTCAGTCTCTATTCTTCCTCTTTTCTTTCCATTCACATCTATCCATTTAATCAGCCTACACATTTGTATGCTATTACACCTGTGCAATTATAAGTACTCTTACATAGATTTGGGGTATTATTTCAGAAACTTATTATATATAATGCATATATCATATATATGTGTTAGATCAATTAAACTAATACTTTGCATATAACCTTTTATTTGTATATATACATAACTGCATGTGTATATTTATAAGTAATATATACATATTTGTGTAAAATGTATATATAGCATCAGTTTTCACATTAGTTATGATTTACAAAGTTGTGGTAAACACTGAATTAATGAACATTGAACCATTGCTCCTATGAAAAATATAGGGTTCAGTTCCTAAGGGCCTCTGGTTAGAATATTCATGTGTATTGATCATTTCATTACTTTATGTCTGAGAAGCATACATCATTCAAAATGTATTACTGGCTCAGTCTATGTAACCCCTGCCTGAACGAAGTTTACCCAACGCATGTTATTTTCTCTGGCAGGCATCTTTCTCCCTTCTTTCTCTGTGATCATTGTGATCATTTGAAACAGCCACTGGTAAAAGCACAGCCATGTACAAGCATGGGACTAAACAGATGACTGATCCAAACGTGCACTTGCTTCCACTGGGAGAGCTGGGTACAAGGACGGGTGTCGCAGCTGAGGACTATGTATCTGGCAGCTCGCTGTTTAGGCTGCTGTGCTTTCCCATAGTGTCCGCATAAGCACTGAACTTACAGATTCATGGGTTACAAACAAGTTCCACTGAGTAGATAAATCTACAAACATAGAATCTGCAAATAATTAGAACATGCATCTACAAACACGCAATTGCTTAAAGGTAAAAATTTAAATAAGGTCTAGTCACTGTTCCACAAATGACTAAATGCAAAGTACTGAAGAAACAACTATCCTTTGGTGATTAAGGAGGCAGAGGACCTTTTTGCTCCTCCCTTTTTTCTTCTCCCCTTCCAACCCTCAGAACTTTCAAGACATATAAGAAATCTGCTAGTCTTAAACGACTTAGTTTTCCTTTGAGTTCAGTTTAATCATTCCAACTATATCCTTTTTTACACATTGAAGACAATTCATTTGTGTTAGTTGCTTTATGTGAAGAGATGTAGACAGAATGAAATCATTTGTGAAACAAGTCTTTGTCGTGTTAAAGATCATGAAATGACAGAAAAGGACAAAATTCCCATACTCAAAGTGGTGGCCCTCACCAATGCCATCCATTCTTAGCTCCTTGTCAATTGTGGGGCTTGAACTCAGGGCCAAGGTGCTGCTGTCCCTGAGCTTTTCCTAGCTCACCATCTGTTTCCTGAAGGTCAATGCCAAGATAGCAGACAATGGTGTTTCTTACACCATAGGGCTATTCTGGACTTGTGTGGAAGAGAATCTATTCTAGAACATACATTCACACTTAATGCTTCACACACCCTACTCATTTCATATTAAGTGCTGCTATCCTAGCTGAACTACTCCATGAACTATCACCACATATACCTGTGAAGTTCACAGCATGAGTTTGGCCAGTTCTTGCCCCAAGGATCTGTCAAATGAAGTCAGTTTTCTTAGCTGTGGCTGGTCTGTCAGTCTTTCCAGTGGGCCAAACACTTACCGTGACAATAGTGTAATGATTTGGGAATGTTTTGGTAGGATATACAGCTCTCATGTATTTTGAATGGATTCCACATGTTTCTGCAACAAAAATGGGAGAAATTAGAAAGTGGTATCTTTCCCAGAAGTATTTTGGATAACCAAAAATATGAATATAAATATGAACATCCCACAGAAAACTGAAGAGTAGATTCAAATTGGAAAAGGAGAGAAATTCCCACCCTTTCACACCTTCTATTCCAAGAGATGTCCACACTTAGAAGACGAATGAGTTGTTTTCTCACTTAGGCTTTGCAAACTCTATGGTTTCTGTCACAGCAGTCCAGCTCTGCCACAGAGCACTCAGAGGTAAGAGAGCAATAGCCAGGTGCTGATGACTCACACCTGTAATCTTAGCTATTCAAGAGGCTAAGATCTGAGGATCATAGTTCAAAGCCAACCTGGACTGGAAAGTCCATGAGACTCTTATCTATAATTAACCACCTGAAAACTGGAAGTGGAGCTGTGGCTCAAAGTGGTAGAGCACTAGCCTTGAACAAAAAAGCTCAAGGACAGTAACACCTTAGTCCTGACCTAAAGCCCCACAACTGACAAAAAAAAGTAAGACACCAACAAGCATGAATGCTATGTTATACTAAAGCTACAATAATAGACACTGAGATTTCAGTTTTATATAATTTTTACATGTTAGAAGATGTTCTTCTCAAACCATTTAAAAATGTAAAAATTTATGCCTAGCATATCACAGGCCATTCAAAAATCAAATCAAGCAGAGGAGGCAGGAGCCACGACCCCCAGCTTACTGACCCCTGACCCTAAACTGCCCTGAAGTATACACTACCTGCTGAGTTTGCTTTCCCTGCTCTCCTCTTACTGCATCTGGTCATTACAGGAAGAATTTCTACAGCACTTGTTTGTCAGATGATTGTTCCTATATGTAAGATATCCAATAGTACAGAAACTAGCATGACTGTCCAGGTAACTGGACAGGAAGTTGACTTTACAACATAGGTCCCTGTCACAGAATAAATGTTCACAAAATGAGCTGACTTTGCCACTTATTCTCATCAGCTAATTTTCCTCTACTCTGTGTTTCACAAAATATGCCACTAATTTTGCTTTCATTGTTCTGTTGTTTTCAATCTGTGCAATCACCCCGTTTAAGGTCAGAAACACAGGAGCACAATGCTATTTCCTTTGTTAGGAGAGCAGGACAAGAAAGTTTCCATATCAAAATCCCATTGCCTCTGATTCAAAGTGAAAGCTTTCCCAATAGATTCTATTTCCTTTGAAAGATAAAAATAAAATTGATGCTTGGCCAAAAAGTAACAAGTCGTGTAGCTGGGAGCAATGAATGATTTTCCTAATGAGCATGAAGCTGGACTTCTTCCCAGCCACTGTGCAGTGTTTCCAATATGATCCAGAGATTTCTTCCTTCAGAATCTTCTAGAACCCCATCAACACCAATAAACTCTACTATATAAGGCCCTCTGATGGGAAGAAAGAGAGCTTTAAAAAAAAAGCCTACATTTTTAACAAGCAACCCAGATGAGTCTAATATCCTTAAGTTCGAGAACCACTTAGACTTGATACAAAAAGCATACTTCATAAAGTTTCATGAAAGCTGAATGCTCTAACACAGAAGCACAACACTGTGATAGAAAAAAAGAGGGCAAAGGAGCCAAGAAGCAGGAAACACCTCTCTTTAGAGAAAATGCATAGGTAGCCTGTGGTAAAGCCTAGAAGACTTTGAGAGGACTTGGGAACTAAGATGAACCAGACATGCTAAAGGTCAAAAAGAAAGACAGCTTCACCTAGTGTCTCGCTGACCAGTCTTTATCATCTGCATGCGGCTGATTGTGCAGGACTTACTCAGCTTATTGATATTTGGTAATAAAGTATTCCATGTGTCTAGATATTCAGCTCTAAAGCCATCCATGGAAAACAAGATTACTGGCGGCAGGTCAAACCTGAAAAATGGAAAACAATCGTGCATGATTTTGTTAGAAAAGTACACTTTTCAGAACAACCCTCTACATTTAAAAAGGGTTAGACAATATAAAAAGAGAACAGTTTCTGGATTAAGTAATAATTGCTCAATTCTACCATCATTCAGGTGTAATTATGATATGGTATTAAGAAATTAACAACGTCACAGACTTTGCAACCTTGCTACTCAGAGATCAAGGGCACATTTACTACTGAACTACCATGCACATTCTTGTAACTATGACCCTCACTTGTTTCCTGAAGCTACATTCCTAAAGATTAAATTTTCTAATCTAAGAATAAATAGGCTAAAATATTTTGTCAGTTCTCTTCTTATTCTTTTATGATGAAGACAAGTAGTATTTTACACATATTGCGGTGTATTGGTTATTTTAAAGAATGAAAAATAATCTAGCTTCATATTTATTTTCCTGATTTCTAATAAGGCTAATCATTTAAGCAGCTATACTTTTATAGCCAATGATAAAACTTGAATAAAGACATGGTGGATGACAAGAATTATCATCTTACTGGGCACTGGTGACTCACGATTGTAACTCTAGCTACTCAGGATGCTGAGATCTAGACAATCGTGGTTTAGATCAGAAACGGTTGAGAGGCACCATGTCTAATTAACTGGCAAAAAGCCAAGCTGGAGGAGTGGCTCAAGTGGTAAAGTGTCAACAAAGCAAATAAACCAGGCAATCTTAAGGCCCTGATTTCAGGCTCCAGAGGTCAAGCCTTGGTACCAGCAAAAAAAAAAAAAAGAATTATCATCCTACTTCTTTCATTTCATGTTGTCATTAGCAAAAATTTATCTATCATTTCCAAGTGGATATTGACATTACTTGCACCTTATCAATAGAACAGGTAGAGAGGGTCAAGTGACTTATCCACAGTGTTCTACCACAGGAGGGAGAAGGTCTAAGAGTAGATCTAGGTTATTGGTCGTCATTCTGACTTAACAGCCCATACGCCTTACTATGCCATGAGAACTATTAAAAATCATAAAATAAAACAGTAGACAGAAATGCTAGCTAAACGTCCAGCAAAGTAGGTTTCACTGAAGTTATCAGTGAATTAGTAACACTAGGTAATCATCATACTATACATAAGACTCACGGGAATAGAGGGCAGGGGCAGGAATGACTCCATTGGAATCCATGGAAAGAGAGGCTGGTGGGAAATGGTTAACAAGCCATTCACTATCACCAACATCTTTTTCTTCACCAGCTTCCTTTCTGGTCTTGCCAAAGTCAATAATAATCTCAGTAAGTGTATAATCTCTTTGTTCCATGGTTCCAAATTCTTGGTGGACAAGTGATTTGCCAATCTGGGGCAGGTTATTTGGGGCCAGAGGTCTAATGCTTTTTAGGAGGACCTCCATAAAATCTTCCTGCTCACCTCATTGTCTCTTTCTTCTCAATTATCAGCAGAAAGGTGAGCCTTAGGGGTACTAATAATTCTTTCCCCTGTTCTACCCTTTCACCTCCTGTTTGGGCCAACCATACAGAATCTCAGGCTCAGTCTATCAATAAGGGAACACCAAACTACACAGACTTTAGGGCCAGGCTGCCAGGATTTGCTTCTTGCCTCCAGAGATCACAGGCAATGTAACCTGGGGCAAATGGCCTCACAGCTCTGTGCTTTGTGAAATGCACTCCATTACAAGAGGGTGAAGATCGTAGGGCCTGCCTCAAAGGAATCTCTACAAAGAACAATGAGAAATATTTTACAAGGAATAACATGTAGGGACACTATTGTACAAAAGTACACATCAGTACATAAAAATAACTACATAATTTATCATTGCAATTACTATAATTAATAAATATTATTATATTGAACCCTGGACTTCATACATGGTAAGCATGCACTTTACCAGTGAACTATACCCTGAGCACACTTGTTACATTTATTGTGCTTTGGCAGAGATGAGTTGCAGTGTTATTTGACCTTGAAAAAAGCCATGTAGAATTATTATGTTTGGTTCTGGACATGCTAAAATAGTTTCATATGTCAAGTTCATCTAAAAAAATGAATAATGAAAGAAAAGTACCAAGAGAAAAACATTAAAATTTTTGAATACCTGCCACATGGCTTACCTTAGAAGTAAAGTTGGTTCTATTATTTTAACTTGATTATTTGATTATTATTTTGTGATGTTAGAAAGGGAACTCAGAGCCTCAAACACACTAGGCAATCATTCTCCCCTTCCATCCTCCTCCACAGACTACTGTTTTAAGATGTAGCAAACATTTCCCCTCTTCTACAACATTGAGTTCTCATATAAAAATCTTCTGAACTAAGCAACATCAACCTCAATAGTACTATTACAATTTTATAGATGAAACTCAGGGAAGTGACCTGTAAATATCCCTCAGGCAAAGCCAGGACACCAACTCCTCTCCCTTTTGTTCTAAGTCCTTTGTTTCAGAAGTGGCTGAGGAGGGCAGCAGGAGCTGAGGATTGGGGCAAACCAATACAGACACTTCTCTCAATAAAAGGAAAGTTTTAGATGTCATAAATATGATTACAAGAGTAGAAGAGAGGGAAGAGGGGAAGTTAATCAGTTGATAATCCACAAACCACCACTAGTTTAAAAAAAAGGACCATTTTACATTCCTGAATATATGCTAAAACTTTAACTGAAAACCTATCTTTCCACCTTTGATGCCACCGTTCCCTGTTCATAATCCCAGCCAATCCAGATGAGGCAAGTCCTGCCCCTAAGGCTGTCCGCCCACCCAAAGCATTCGCCGTTCAGCTCTCCTCTCTGTTCTATTGCCAGTGTATGGTCAGTTGGAACAAGGTATGCCTTCCTTCCCCAGTTTCCCTAACAAACAGATGCTCTCTGATCTGATCCAATGAACCCTTTCCAACAGCGACTTCTCCTTTCCCTGGAAGGTGTGAGAACTGGTCCTGGACTGATTTTTTTGTTTGGTTTGGTTTGGTTTTTGGCTGGTATCTATAACAAACCAATTAACTTATTTCTTTCTGAGTTCCTTCAACTCCAAGAGTTTAGATTTAACACCATAGGTGCTTTTATTTCACTTTTTTAAGAGAGGACATCTCACCATATGGGCCAGGCTGGCCTTTAACTCCCAGGTTCAAACAGTCCACCTTCCTAAGTGTCCTGAGTGAATGGGACAACAGGCTCACTACAGCCGGCTCCATACACCTTTTTTTCCAATGAAGTGCCCCATTTTAACCTGCTGATTTTCTTAGAGCCATATAGCTTTATTTCTTCCATACTCACCATCATCGTTCCCCTGCCAGACCCAGAAAAGAGTGATGGAAAGGGACAAAAAGAAGAAGAGATGGATGATGTGGTCACCTCTCCATGCCTGAGCAAAGTCCTCAACATGCTAAGAAGCATGGGAGGGGTGGGGAGTTCCACCACAGGCCCATTACTGGTGCTCACCTGACAAAGGCCTCTCCTCCATGATGCAAGGACATCCTTTTACTATGACACCTTCCTCCCACGAATCTCTTCCTCTTCCCTCAGTAAGAAAAAATGGGTAGTAGCAGGATGTTCAGAGGAAAGAGTTCTAGCAAAAGTAAACTCCAGTCCTGACCATAAGATCTTGGGAAATTTAATCATTTCATACTTCAATATTTTAGGCAACTATGAGGTGTGACGATAATAGATTAATGTCACAGTGCTTTATACACAATAGAGCAAGCAAAGATCTGTTGGCTTTGAACCTGCAAGGACGCCAATCCTGTATTAATCCTCCTGTTTTGAAATAAGTAGAGTGGAGGGAATTCTACCCGCCTCTCAACTGCAGTATCACTTGCCAGCTGTTGAAGGAGGATGACAAAACCCAGGCCATGCATGCTCACCCTTCTGGGCACTGAGGCTGCGGGGTTGTGGTGCAGTTTTCTGTTACCCACGGAGTCTCCCCTGCAAAGCAGATCACAATCTTTACACTGTTGTACCACGCACAGGAAAAGAAGCACCAGTTCAGTGGAGATGATCTTCCTAAACTGCGTAACTTGTGCTGCTCTGATGACTAATTTCTTCCAGGACACAGGAAGTGCTAGTCCATGTGTTGGCAAAAGCAATGCTTCTGAAGATTTGCATGAGATCAGTAATCTGCACTAACTGAATGCCAGGAAACCATGCTTCTAAGGAAAACAAAGGGGAATCCTTTAGATCAAAAACAAAGGGGTATTCCTTCTTGCTGTTAATTATGTTATTTTTCACCTCTCAAGGACAATGTTTTCCAAATGTTGGAATAAAAATAAGTAAGTTAAAAAATCTTGCTTCATGGATATTTCTTTCTACAGAGTACGGCTAAGTAATGAAGTAGAAGTGACGGGGGGGGGGGGTGACTGTCACCCTGTGCAGCCCCTCATGGAGCTGGGAATGGTTACCGATGGCACAAACAGGCATGATGACCTCAAGATGGGGGTAACACCATAACTGTACCACCTACAAAATACACTTGCAAAACCTAAATGAATAAATGACATCAAATCTCAAAGTCTTCTATCTACTAATATGTGTGTGTGGGTGGTGGAAATGTGGATTTCTAAGTTAGTTATGTCACAAAGGATGCAATCAGTAAAACTTATATTGGAAGAGCCTGTAAGACAAATGGGCTCATATAGCACATGAAAACACATCTACTCACACAGAAGCAAGCAAAGTTTGGCCTCCTGAAAACCTATCTTAACCTAGTAGTCAATGAGGTGCCCACAATCAAGTTCTGCTATCCACTAACTAGTCAAGACTAGCCAGCCGCTCCCTGTCAGTTAAGTCCCTTATTTGCATATAGGACCTGAATGGGAACTTTGGGAAGGTATTTTTCTTCTTGTACATATTCACTTTATTTTGCCCTGGGAGCTACAGCTTGACTTGCTCTTGGTCCAGGCTGCATTTCCCATCAAGCTCTATCAGAGATCCTAATTTAAAAAAAAAAGTCTTGCATATGATCCATCCACACCTCTTTGGTTATATTCTCAAAAAAACAAAGTTAGCTTACAATAGAGATACACATATATTAATGTTGTACGGCAGTACTATTCACAATAGACAAGTTATAAATAAATCTAGGTGTTCATCCATGTAATTAAATGGATAAAGAAAATGTAATATAATATATATACATACATACACACACTAAAGCTTTATTCAGCCAATAAAAATGAAATTATGTTGTTTTCAGTAAAATGGACATGAATCATGGTAAGTGAAATAAACTAGTCCCACAATGACATGTTTTCTCTCATTTGTAGAAACCAGGAAGAAAACAACAACAAAACAAAATAAAATAAAACAAAAAAAAGGTTAGGAAAATAAAAGCAGGACTGCTAGGGATTTGGAGGAGGAGGGCCAAAGGGGAAATTAAAAAGCGTAGCTGAGGGTGAATATGTTCAAAGTACATTATATGCAGGCAAGGAAATGTCCTAAGGAAATCTCTTAATATGTACTGCTTAATATATGCCAATTAAAAAATACAAGCCTTGTCTGTAGTGTTCTAGGTCTAGACAGACTTCTACCACTTCTGGACCCAATTCTGGTGACATTTCTACTATAACATTTCCCTCTTATCTCAAATGAGTTTTTATGTAAAATATTAAAAGTATGTTAGGTTCTTTGAGTATGGTGTTATATGAGAAAAGGATTGAAAGTGTGATAAAATTTTGTGTAATATATATGGTATGTGTGATCAGATGTCTGAGGGAATGGTGATTTTACACAAGAACTTCAGTCATTTATGAAGTAGGGAGCTGATGAAATCGGTTGAGTACTTGAATTCTAATCTTGCATCTCATGAACTCTCTCAGGTTCCTTAGTCGTTTAGCCACTCTAGCCACAATTGCTTCAATATATCTGCTGATATTTGAGTCAGGTCATCTCTTCTCCAATGTCTTAACTTTAGGCTCTGTCATTCAGGGTCTCAAACCACAAGCATATCTGGCATGGTCATTGGACAGTAAAGTATCTTGCCATCTCGACAATGATGAAACTGTAAACTCTTTTATTTTTCTGTGCCTCTGGGAAGGGCTCCCTTCCCCTGTGGTGTATAAGCTACACTTCTTCCCGCAGTAAACACCTTTGATCATTTTCTATGTGGAGTAGTACCTGAAGTTCTCTGCCTTGCTTTAAGGTTAGCAGCCCGGAATAGCTCTAAGAAAGAGAGTTCCAGTGAACTCACAGAGGCAACGCCACCAGCGTCCTCTGCTTACCTTGGCAAACACTCTTGTAGTTAACGCAGCAGTCTTTCCTCTGCAAACAGTCATCTGCACAAGAGCAAAGGCTGGACTCCAGTCTGTTCTCCCCACAGCGAAACGAATTGCATGTCCATATTGCAGCTGTTAAGTAAGACCATTCCATTCTGAGCTTTAAGTACATGATACAAAAGGTTCAATTTTATGCACCTCTTCCTGCATTGTTGGAATACTGTCAAATTTTGTGGTTTATCTGCATTCATAAATGGAAATCTGTCATTCAAAACCAAAAAAGCAAACCATGACTCAATCTTCCTTTGCATGGATAGGAGACAGAAATGTGTATTACAAGCTTCAAGTCTGGTCTTGATTGCAGGTGCCCTGTGATTTTAGAGAGTGGCTCTGAACACTGATTTCAAGAGCAGGGATTTCCCATGGTGAAACATCATTAGCCTGGAATGGAATATGGCTACCCATAGCTTTGCCCAGCCTTGTCTTGGGACAGCCAACAAGGAAAGGGACGGAGATCATAGCAGTAACAGTAGCACAATTGTGCCCGTAGGAACACAGGCAGGAAGGATGGAAATGGTGTAAGTCAGGTCTGCCCACAGCCTGGGTATTCTCCCAGGCTTTGTGCTTAGTAGGAGAGCAATTCAAATCCTATTGCTAAAAGCAGCAAGAATTTAGAGGGAGGCTTCTTCCCTTTGCTGCTTGCTAGAAATCAGTAATTAAAATCATATCCATTCTGTTCAGATGACCTTGTTAAATACATGAATGGTGGGTGCTTCCATTTATTATTATTGGAAAGAAAAGATTGAGGGAAATAAAATAAAGGAAATACAGAGCGTTTTTAGCTACTGCAGGTTTCTCTTCCCTCTCTCCTGTCCTTTCCAGATAACACAATGTAAAGAACACTACCATTCCAATTTTCACTGTCCCCCTACCAATAGACAAATACTCCACTTTCCCTGACTACTTAAGAGGAGTAAAGATCAAAAGCTGTTGTGTTTCACCTTTAGGTGAATGTTTCCAAAACTGCTGTAGAGCACTAGTTTCTGAATGACCAAAACCACCAGCATTCCAAGTGAAACTTATGACATTCAAGGACAACTTCAAACAAAATCATACTGGATGGTGGTACACCTACAATCCCAGCACCCAAGAGGCTAAAACAGAAAGCATGTGAGTTTAAGCCAGACTGGACTACTATGAGTTCTAGGCTACCCTGGGCTACATAAAGACTTTCAAAAATAACAAAAGAAGGAAGGAAGGAAGGAAGGAAGGAAGGAAGGAAGGAAGGAAGGAAGGAAAGAAGGAAGGAAGGAAGGAAGGAAAGAAATGAAGGAGAAATTAAATGATAATAGAACTCCACTGACCTTTAAGTAATTATGCAGCACTTCATTTTCTATAGGGAATATAGTATAGACTTCATTTGTAGTATAGCATTTCATTTTCTATAGGAAATGTACTATAGTTTATACTGTAAAAGGGACAGTGATAACAAGAGACCCTGTATAGATACCTATAAAAGGTGCTATGGGCTCAGTTGTATCCTTCTACAATGATGCTAAAATCTGAATCCCCATTAACTGTGAATATGACCTTATCTGTATCTGAATTTCTTGCAGCTAACCAAGTAAAATAAAATCATTAGGGTAAGCCCTTATCCTAAGATTTTCTTACAAGTGGGGCAATTTGAACACCCTCCCATATAGAGGGAAGACTATATAAATGTGAAGGTTATATGAAGGTGATAGCAATTTGAAGTTGTGATGAAACCTGCCAAACAGTGTCAAAGATGGCCAACGACCAGAGAGAAACTAAGAAAGAGGCATAAAATAGATTCTCAAAGTTTTCAGAAGTATCCAACTCTGCCATCACCAAGATTTGGGCCTTGGTGTTAAGAGAATGAATTCTTGTTTTTGTAAGTTACCTGGTTTGTAGTACTTTCTTTGGGCTGCCCTGGGAAACTAATACACAGAGTATTGATGAGTGTTTGAACATGCAGGAGTGATAGCACAAATTACAACCTCAGTAAACAGAGTCTTAAAATCCGTACTTGATTCCACACAAGTTTCTTTAAAATCCCAGCAGCAGTCGCCTCGATCTTGACAGCCTTGATCACACCGGCAGCCCTCCAGTCCTCGGAATGATGAGTCAAAGCATTTTTTCCTGCAGCTGCCTATAAAATAAAGGGCATAGGGTCACTAACATTTAGATGTTATGCAGTATCTCACAACTAGATAACGCAAGTACAGAGAAGTACTTAGCACAGAACAGGATAGATTAAATTGATGATCGCCATAGGTCAGCATGTTCTACCAGTATGCTGTACTAAATAATGAGTCATTGATATGTACCAGGAATGTACCAGGATTATGCAATAGCAGGCAGTAGCATAAAGACCAGGAAGGAGGCAAGTTGACTTCAGCGAATCTTGGGAAAGGAATGAGGAATTTTAAAAAATCAGTGGCAGGCCATCTGCAGAATACTGCACAGGGCACCAAGGCTGAGTAGAGTTCAAAGGTCAAAAATGGACTACCTACCAAGAAGTTTGATGTCCGGCCAATAACAAAACACTGAATACAGGTGATGAGAAATGGTGAGAACAGATACTCTCTGATAGAATTATGATCTCCAATGGTATTCTATAACCTAATTAACAAGTTGGCTTATGGAACAAATGGTATTCACAAATGTGATTATGGATTCTAGTTCTCAGAAAGGTAGAGAATTGAATGGTAGTTACTTGAGGCTGAGATTGCAGAGGGTAGAGAGAGATGGGAAAGGTTAATTGGTGCTATGTTAAAATTTAAAAAATTAAGTTATAATTAGGAGTGAGAAATCCTCTGCTATTGCACAGTAATGTGACTTTCATAACAAAAAGTTATTGAATACTTTAAAAAGTTAGATTTTGAATGTTTTCACTACAAAGGATGATAAATGAGATGTGTTTTCCTGATTTGAACATTATGCAACATATCCAAACATGTATCTATACATCACAAGGTACTCCATAAATAAATGTAATTTTCATATTTTTCTATATCACTTAAAAATAAATTTAAATTAAAAGAAGAGGTAATACCCAGACATGAATGCAGAAAAACTGGAGATGATGCTATTAAGAAAATTATATTATAAAAATTCTCAGAACTGTCAGGTGATGGCAGTTCACACCTGTAATACTATCCAATTTGCATGCTTTAATATCAAAATAATGCCTCTAAAATGGTCCAGCAACATTCATTCATTTATTCCCAGTGGCACCACCACTGGGAAACACAACACCAAGAAACCAAGGGAAGACAGTCATTTTCTAGCTACTATTCATTTTCTCTTTTCTGCTGTGTTCCCATGTTATATAGAAGTACTAAATGTTCATCTTTAAGTGAAAGTAGTACTGGAAACATCAATTAACCACCTCAAAAGAATCCCTAATATAGCAGTGATAAGGATTCTCCCCCTAAGTCAAAGTTTACCTGTTGGTAAACATTTCAAAATAATTTCTTAGAAAATTATCCAAAGTGCCACGCTGACCCCAGTAGAGTCTGCTTAGCATGGGAAACCATCTATCAGACCATGATAGGGGCTTCAGAGACCTATCTGTGAGTTTTGGGACTTCACCGAAGTCTACCTCAGAGAATGGGGCTTTACAGAAACCTATCTCCAAGTTTTGGGACTTCACCGAAGTCTACCTCGGAGAATAGGGCTTCTAAGAGGCCTACTCCTGGGAAAAGGCTGGCAAACCCCTGGGAAAGATGTGTTTCTGCCTATCTTTTCCTCATAAGAGTGCCTATTAATCTTT